GCCGAGTTGAGGCGCTTCCCCACCGCTAATCATTCAAACGACATGCAAACCGTTCACCGCCGCCGCTGCGTTGCTGCTCGCCACGGCACGGCCCTCATTAAATCTCAATGCCCCACTACAATTTGCGTCCCGATCCGCCCTGTAATTCGATCCCAATCCCCCGGCCATCAAAACGGATCTCGCGCCGGAGCGAGAGAGAGAGAGCGACAGAGGTAAATAGAGAGGGGCGGGCTTAGGCTACGCGGCGGTGTGGTCGGGGCGTTCGGGGTGTGCCCGTCGTCCTGGTCCGTGACCCGCGCAGCGTCCGCCGGCCTCCGGGTCGACGGGGTGGTGGTGGTGGCGGTGGCGGTGCGTCCGCGCGGCCGGCCCGCCGTCGCGCGTCACTGCACGGAGAAGAGCACCACCATAATCGCACGGCTGTCGCGCGCCTTTCATAGTGCAGCAGCAGTGCCCCGCATTTGCTTTACAAATGTCGGCGTCGCGGCGGCGGAGCCTTGCAGTGTGTGTACGCGGGCTCCACGTCAGAGCGCTGCTTTCAAAGCGGGGCACAAAAAGAACTAATTAACCACAAGTGGCGGACTGGCGCGTAATAAGGGCTCCACTTTAGTCGCCTGGGGAAAGGAAAATAAAGTCAATTGGGAAGTTAAATCGAGCGCGTGTGGGCGGGGCGAGGCGGGGCGAGGCGGGCGGGGCGGGGCGGGGCGGGGCCGGGCGGGGCGGCCCGCGCCCGCGCCCGCGATGATAAAGGCAAGCGACGATCGCAATTAGACGGAGTAATGGTGTCCCCGAGACCGGGCTCGAGAGTAACGGTCTCCGCCACTCCAAGATTGTCATTTGAGACCGAAAAAAAAGGAAATTAATACGTGTTTTTAAAAGTGTTTTCAGTCTCCTTTTTTGTGCCGTTTTTTGACAGTTGTTGAACGAGACGAGATTAGGACGCATGGAATAGGTAACCCGGTCTAGACTGGCGGGCCGCTAGATAAGACGCGACCCCACGCACCTCGCGCCGTCTGACGCAGAGAGGCTGCAGTGAGATTCCCGACAGCGCTGTCTCTATCCGTCTCTCTCGCACTCGCGGGGCGTCGCGCAAAGGTGCGAGAGAGACGGAGTGACGAAAACGGCGAGCTCCGGAATGAGCCGCATCGCAGGCCGCATCGCAGCTACGCCGTCACCGCCCTTCGTTTTGCTTTTTATCTGGGCCCAGCTGGGAGGCTGGCACGCCTGTCGGCCGACCGGCCGGCGTCGGCGGCGCTCGCTTCGAGAAGTCGAAAACTCGAAAACAAACTCGCTAATTACTATTGGCCAAGGCGAGGGCGGGGCGGGCGGGGCGCCAGGCCAGCGCGTGAAGAAAAGGAATGGAAAGGCAAGGAAGGCCCGTTTCGAGTCATTTGCTTCCCATTCAGCGACCTCTGCCGCCCTCCAGAGTGTCTCCAGACTCATTCCGCGCGCCGCGACTCGCCGCTCCGTCTCTCTCGCACTCGGCGGCCGCCCCGCGTGGATCTGCGCGAGAGGGACAGAGACGGAGCCCAAACGAGTCTCCGGAATCGGTCTAGCCGCCGCGCCGTTCGGCGGCCGAGGTCACCTTCCACTCTCCACTGGCTGGAAAGTCGATAGGGCGACAGTTGACGCACCGCGTGCTGATGTGTATGTGTGTGTGTGTGTGTGTGTGTGTTTGGTGAGTGTGTGTGTTGGTGTGTGTGTATTCGGCAGCCCGTCCGCGTGGCAGTGTGCCACATAACCCCCTGACACTAATTACGGAGCTTGTTGTTGTTACCGTTCTTTGTCGACTAGACTCCGCTTATCACTGCACGATGACCGTTCACGTCGTTCACGTCTTTCATGTCGTCCACGACGTCCACGTCGATCGTTCACGCGGTGTTGGCGGTATCGAACCGCGTGGCGTCGCGGCTCCGACGGCACGCAACGCCATCATCAAGGCCGTCCTCCTCCAAACACTTTCCCAGGAGAGGCAGCTCTTCGACGTGCCCGTCGACTCGTCCGCCGCGCCGCGCCGCGCCACTGTACGCAACACACCGTTGGTGTTGCTGCCGTCATCCCAAAAGGCGAGCGGGCTTTTACTTTCAATTATTCATTCCATCCGCCGCGCGCGATTTTTTATTGTTCCGGAAGACAATAAAATGGAAGAAGACGTACGCAGCTCGATGACTTTCAGTTTCCCCTCTCAGGAAATAAAACGAATGCAGAATGGGGAACGGGTTTGCCGTCCGTGCAACGCGAAGGCGCGCGAAGTGCACTGGGAAGGCGGAGTGCCGCCGCGAGCGCGCGAGCGCCAGGAATGCGGAAACGGAACCGGGTGCCAAAAATCGCACGTCGGATGAACAATGCCTCGTTGTGGTCGCGACACAGATGACGCGCTCCCACGGACCCGCGACGATAAACAACAGCAAAAACGTCAACAAAAACAAAAGGGCCCCTCCGTGCGCGGTGCGCGCTGCGCCGCGGTATCTCCGATCGTGTGCGCACGGCCGCGTGAAAACTCGCAGTCACGCGTGACGCGAGCGCCGCCTCGCGTGCGGTGGCGTGCGGCGCCAGCGCGACCCTCTGCCTCGTTAAAGGGTTAAAAGGCCGTGCCGCCCGGCCGCCCTGTCTCTCTCGCACTCGCGGGGCGTTTGGACGCGAGAGACAGCGCGACGCGGTGCGACGCAACACTGGGGCAGCAGCCGACCCCGCGGAATCACACGAGCCGGCCGGCCGGCCCGGGCCGAGGAGATACTACACAATAAAAGCGATTTTTACGATTCGGCCGCCGAGTTGTTTACACGCTGTCCATGTTCGGCTGGGCGAAAGTTTGCTCCGCCGACCGCTGGCTGACCGAGTTTGCGGCGACTTTGACGGCGTGCTCGGGTCGGCGAGGCCGCGCCGCAGTGCGACAAGCAGCCCGGGATGCAGCACGGCGGCGGCCCAGCCAAAGCCAGCCGCGCCGCCGCCAAGCACGCCCTGACCGCCCTCCCGGCGGTGGCGGTAAACTCGGCGGGGAAATTTCCCGGAGGCCGAAAAGTACACAGCCTCGGCCACGGCAGTCACGGTGGCGCGGCATGGGCGGCGGCGTGCTCGCGGCCCGCGGCCGGGAAGCCCTGGCGCGCCCCGGCGACACATGTGTGCGAGCGAGAGAGAGAGCGAGGGGGAGGCAAGGGAGGGACGGAGAGAAAGGATGGGTCGAGGCTCTGCTGGTAGCCGTCACTCAGGCCGGCCGCCGCTCCATTCCATGATGGCCGCGTGACGTCACAAGGGGCCAACCAGGGGCCGAGGCGGGGGGAGCAGGGGGAGGCCCCAGTGGGGGCAGGGGGGGGGGGGAGGCGCATGCAGAATGGATGGCCCACCCCTTGTCGCGGTCCAGATTGAAAAGGGCCTTGTGGGGGGCGGTGCCGGGGCGGTGCCGGCACTGCGATTGCCTACGTGACCCGCCTCCGGCCGCAAGCCGTGCCCCGCCATGCTAAATGGCGCTCGAGGTCCTCCAATATGACAACATGACAGTTCGTGAAACGAGTGGCATCAAGTTGGCCGCACACTGTCACTAAACAAACTAGTAAATTTAACACACGAAAAAACCCGCGTGGGTTTTAAATTGTTTTGAAAAGTAATTGTTTGTTTGTTGTGGAAACAGTGCGCAGACATCCATTGTGCTCGCGGACCAACCGATCTCTATTGAGCGAGCGGCCGTCCTGCCTGCGCGGATTAGCCAAAGACAAACCGCCCACGAATGTCCGCGCGAAAAGAGAAATGTGCTTCAGCCCGCCGCTTGTGGCGGAAAGGGCCGCTTTGCGCGCGCCGTGAGATATGCGGCCGCGTTCCGATGGGCCCGGTGGCGGCCGGACCGAACCCCGAACCCCCGAGCCCCGACCCGAACCCCGACCCGAAGTTGGGTGACGGGTCGGGCGGGCCATCCATTCTAGGCGCACAGGTGGCGTTGCTGGTGTTGCTCCTCCAAGCTGATGACCGGCAGGTGCGCCGAGTGAGTGGTGTACAGGTGCAGGGCGGATCCAGACCCGGCCAGAGGGAGGGACAAAGTAGCACCTTTTGCCACTCTTTTCAGTTTTCGCCAACACACTACACACACTGTTCAGTCTTGCCAAAAGATGGTCGGCTATTGCGTGATGCCTGCTGTCGCTTCATAAAGGACGGCGTGCGTCACTGGTCTGCGCCCGGACAGCGGGGCTGGGAGAGGAGGGAAGTCGACCGGGGGGCCGGGCAGGGCGGCCAGCCCGGCAAGTACGTCAGTAGTGCCATCTAGCCTGCCCCCCCCCCCCTCCCCCGCCGCCTCCACGCTTCAATCTATGCCTTTTGGCCGAAATCGCGGAGAAAGAAAGGCCATTGTGCAACAACTGTGCGATAGCTATTGTCATGTGAAAATTCTAAGCTTTCAATAAAAGACAAATAACCTTTAAAAATAGAAAAGCTGCAAAAATTCCCAAACTAACTTTGATTCTCGCGTAAATTTGAGGAAGGCCAACTCCGGACAGTGGGCGCGGCCGCGCGGCTCGAGTTCAATTAATTAGTTGAACCCCGCGCGGGGTTCGGGTTGCCAAAGCGGGACCGGCGGGATGGTGGGAGCAAGCAGAAACGCGACACGATGATTTAGCGAACAGCGAGAACAGAAATTAAATCCTGATTTAAAGCCGTCGCACTGTTTCAAGGGATTAATTTAAAGAGACCGGTGACTAAAGTGAGCAATGATTGTTTTCTTTGCGGCTATTTTTCGCAGGCGAAGGGAATGGCGCGGAAAGGCACTGGAGCCTCGCAGACAGGTTCTTTGCCATTCCCATGCAGCCCATTATTGGCGGCGTTGTGTTGCAGTGACGCACGCCGCTCCGCCACGGCACCAGGGCACCGCGGCACCGCGGCAGCGCGGCACTACCATTGCATGGGCTTATCACTGAAGCAATAACCCGCGGCGCGTGGGGCTTGGTGGGCGTGCTGGTGGTGGGGCACGGCCGGCCACAATGCTTTGTCGCTAGGGAGGCGAGGACCCACCCACTCACCTCAGTCTTGGTGATGCGGTGCCGGGCGAGCTTGACCACGGCGAAGTTGCCCTTGCCGATGGTCTTCTCGATGTCGTAGAAGCCGACGCGGATAGGGTTGCCCCGCAGGGCCCCCTTGCCGTCCGCGCTCCTGTCCGACGACATGCTGGCCTGGCGTCAGTCCGTCGTCCTGCCGTCCAGGGCGTGGTCCTCAACACCGCCGCCGTCGTCCGGCCGTCGTCTGTCCCGGTGGGGCGGCGGCATCCTGGCCGGCGGGAGTGGAGCACCTCGCCGTCGACGCCACCATCACGGAGCGGAGCAGCACGCTACCGCCGGTCGCGCACCGCGTGCTGCGCCTGGAAAAGAAGAGCGTGGGGTTGAAGAGGTTTCCGCGCTGCATCGGGCCATCGGGCCCCTCTGCGTCCCGGGGCGCCCCGCGCCACGCCGGCCTCATGCCTTATTTCGAAGTGATTACTGCCGACTGCCCCTCCCCTCCCGTTCCCATTGACGCCGAGGCACACTGGCAAGGAGGCGATGAATACTGCACGCCGCTTAGTCCGCGGATGCAGGGAGCGGAGCGGCGCGGCGCGTCCGTGGTCCGCATGCTGCATCATGCAGTGCTGGTAGCACATCCGAATCCGTCCTCGTGCGTGTCGCGTCGCGGCCTTCCTGGCCGCAGCGCACCTGCCAGGAAAACCATGTCGACGACACCGGCGCGGCGCCGGCCTCGGGGAACGCGTCCTCCCACCACGTTCAGGACCTCGAGGGCCTCGAGCAGCGTTTAATTGGCGCGCCCTTTGGTCCCTCTGAGGGCCGGGCATGTTGGCACGCTGGGAGGGCTAATTGCAGTGCAGTTGCAGTGCAGTCACCGACCACCGACCTCCGCGATGTCCGCAGCGCGCCGCGGCGTCTCGCGAGTCTCGCGGCAGCTGGGTCGCATTGCCATAAGCAGCGCGCTGCGGACAAAAAAGGCGCTCGCGGGCGCGCACACACACTAACGCACACACACGTACACGTCGCCGCCCACGGAAGGGGCGTGTGGAAGAAGGGGATGCTCAAAGAGAAAAGTTTCCCTCCTACGCGCGGATTTCGAAAGAGCGCGGTCGGTTCGAGTTGCCGCCGACTCTTGGACACCCTACACCTCCTCATCACGTCCACACCCACGCGCGCTGTCGCGTCGGCGGCGTCGGCGGGTTTTAATCCTGGGGTGAATCAGCGCGGACAAGGCAGCTGAGGCCTGGCCGCATGCAGTGACCCCCGCCAATGGGGTCATCGGAGTGCAGCACGGCGCCGACCGCCACACCGACCGCCACGGCAACACACCGGCCGGCCTGGCTGGCCTGCCAGGGCCACGCGCCGCCGCGGGCCGTCGCCGCCAACGCGGCCGCCACGCCGCCAGTCCGCCAGCCAGCCACCAAAACAAAAGCAGTGCCTCCGGCCCTCCAGCCGCCTCCAGCCCTCCGGCCCCCGCTGGGGCGCAAATGACAACAAGCGGGCGGCGCGACACGGGGAAGTACACTGGGAGGTACACGACGCACAACACACGACCCGGGCCGAGGCGACATTACATATTTTCCAGGCCGCGCGGTCATGTTGAACGTTTCGCGTTTTTTTCCTCCTCTCCGCCGCGCTTCACTCCACGTTCCGCGACAGCAGGTGCCGGTTCCGCAATCTCGCTGCACGATAGGCTGGCGGGGGCGCGCCTCGGGGGCGGGGGTTGGGCGGGGCGGGGCCGGGCCTGCACCGAGATAGCAGGGGTGGTTGCAGATTAGATAGCTGCGCCGTGTTTTAGTGCCCAGATTCCGACGCGCCGGATTTGCCTATTTTCAGCGGTACAGCCCGTGGGGCGCGCAGAGAAGAGTCCTTAGTGCAGAGGGGGGGGGGGGTATTCTGGATCCGCCCCTGGCCAGGCAAGAGGGGAGCCAGACGGAAGTCTGGGTGGAAACCGTGGAAAGTATAGCACGGTGAAAGTGAAGGCGTAAGACCCGTGCCATACGCCACGGTCCCCGTGCTGCGGGAAGTGAAGAGCGGCAAAAGTACAGGGCAGGCGACCGAACAGGCGACGGGGCAGCCTCTCCACGGCTGGGTGCATCGGGCGGCCCGCGTCCTGTTCGGCCTCGCCGCCAGGCCGCGGCCACTCCTACTAGATTTCAATGAGGGGGAGGGGGCAAGGACAAGTGTGCGGACGGACAGCCGGCCGGACGGACGGACGGAAGGACGGGCCGGGTCGACGGACCAACACAAGCGTCGAGAGCGGTGCTACAGCACGTCCCGACCGAACACGCGCACTCACACAGACTCACACAGACTCACACAGCAGTGGACGCTGCTGGTGACGCCACTTGGGCTGCTGTACAGCCGCGTCACCGCGACTGCGACGTCCTCGTCCTCCCAGCGGCCTGCCCAGCCTGCCCGTGCACGGCCCGTGGGCCTGGCGGCCGGCCTAGCGCGACCGACCGACCGGCCGGCACAAACGGCGGGGAAAATCGCCGTCGCGGACGTGTATGGTGTATGGGCGAGATGACGGGACAGTTTAGAGGCGGGTCGAGAGTGCCGAATCCTTGCAGGGTCCTCGAGTGACGCCGAGAGCGCCGTGCCTGCTCCGCTCGCCCACGTCCAGCCGCCACCTCGTCGCCGACGACCGACCCATGCACTGCGGCAAGCTGACTCAGAGAATCGCTGACGGTCGGTTTCCGTCCACCAGAGCGATTCCTCGACCAATCACGCTCCTCTCAATCAGTCTGCTGCTCGGCCCTTTACTCGGTCACAGTGTCATTACCGGCTTATCGGCACTTCTTTTTATCGTCTCGATTTAAAGCCTCGTCCTTGCCGTGTCTCCTCCTCCCCTCCTCGCCTCCTCGACCTCTTCGTCATCGTCGCACCCGTCCTTTGTGTGTATACAGAGACAGAGATAGCGCCTCGACAGAGCCAGGTGCGTTGAATGCTGCCGGTGACGTCCTCGCCGACCCCGCCGTAATCTTCCACGATTTGCCTCGTCGCAAAGGAGAATCAATTGTGTGCTATTTCGGTGTTCTTGCCGTTCTTGCACTCCGGCACTCCCTTCCGCCGCCCGCACGCGTCACGCGTCGCCGACGACGACGACGTTGACACGACACATCACATGGGAGAGTTTCCACTGCCCCAGCGGCCCGGCCCCGTCAAGGTGGTCCCGGTGGAACGCACCAGACGTAAGTAGTAAAGGTGCTCCATTCTGACGTGCCGCAGGGGGCCACCAAAATGGCGCCTCGTCAGAATGAACCTCGCATACTACTGACTTACTACCGCTCTCGCTGCCGGCGAGACTACTCCCCGCGCGGAGAAACTTTAGCGCTGACTTGTGGCGCCTGCAGCGCGGGGTATCCGCATGGAAATGGCTCCTCTCCACAAATGGCTGCCAGGTTGGCTGCCAGGTTTGGCTGCTAGGCTGCCAGGTTTGGCTGCCAGCTTGGCTGCCAGCTTGACTGCCGGGCACAAAGGCGACGGACGGGCAGGGCGCGCGGAGGGCGTCGGGTCGGCCGTCGGCCGGGTCGGAGAGGAAAAACTTTCCGCTCGATCGGCAACTTGCTTCCATGGCGTCTTCTGGCGGCGCGCAGGAGGCGCTGAGGTTTCGGCCGGCAGGGCTGTGGGACGTGGGCCGTGGTGGGTCACGAGGGCGGCGAGAGCGGACTGCGGCGGACTGCCAGGGTGCTGTGGCGGGAAAATTCCAAAACAATTTGACACGAGGAAAATAGCCGGCAAAAGCATCGGGTCCCCTGGCCTGCCCCACATATCCTGTCCCCACCCCAACTCTTTGCCGGTGACGTCACGCCTCGCCGTGGCGCCCAGCGCGCGCCAGGGGAAGGGAGCATCCCGAAGTGGCTCGATAATTCTATTCCCTCCCGAAACCCGGGAAAAAGACAACGAAAAAGCAGCCACACCATGCAGGTGACGCGGCGACGCCCCCACCACACGCGAGGCGCCCGGCCCAAGCCCGGCCCAAGCCCGCCCCCACGCCACCCCGGCCCCAGGGGGCTGCCGGCGCGATGCCTTGCCTTGGGTCATAATATGTGCCCGGCGCCCGGCCTGCACACATCGCAGCGGCATTCTAAATTGAAGACGACTACCGAAGACGTCTGGCCGGCACGCCGCCGTGCCGCGCTCGCAATCCTCCTCAGCGACATCGCCACACTCGGGCGCGCATTCTCGCGCACTTTTCCTCGAAAGTTTATCCGAAACGTCGAGGAGAAAGGAGGAGGTGCCGCCCGCGTCGCGCTGCCTCGTCGCGTCCACGTCGTCACGCCTGACCGATCGCGCCCGCGGCGGGGCGGGGCGGGGCGGGGCGGGGCAGTGTGCGGCAGCCCTAACTTTTTTCTCGCTGATTGTACATGTACGGCTGGGTCGCGGCGCGGTGCTGCGCGGTGCTGCCGATAGTTGGCTCCCTCGGCAGCGCAATGACGCAGGCGGCGTGCGGCCCGCCCCGCCCCGCCGCGCCCCGCCACGCCTTACCGCGGCCCGCCATGGGCTCTTCTACACTTTGGCTCGGCGCTGGTGCTGCTCTGCTCGCTCGCGCTGCCCCGGCTTGGCTCGGCAGTGGAATGCCTCCGCTCGGCACCACGCAGTGTGGCGGTGCGGTGCGGCCCCCAGGCCCCGGGGAGGGCACGGTCAATGTCGCCGGGGAACAACGCCCGTAAGTGAAGCCGGTTTCGCAAACAGGTAATCAGCGCCGGCAAATTAATGAAAACTTTTCCTGCCGCTTTGCTTTCTCCACCAAAGAGAGGAAAATTTAGCCTTATTTTGTCGACAGCTTTTGCTTCGCGATGAACGCGTCAACACCGCCGAGATTTTTCAGAGGGTCGGGTCGACTGCACACAGAGGTCGCGGCGCTGCCCCGAGTATGGCGTCAAGTAGAGTCTAGAAGGCCTGGCCGCGGTGAGGCACCGCGTGTGTGTGTTGCTGTGTGTGTGCGTGTGTGTGTTTGACCGCGACACCGTCGACTGGAGCTGCACGCGCTGGCCGACTGGTTGGGCGAGGAGGAAGCGATCAGCTGTGCGTGTTGTTGGTCAAGTAAAACAAAAGCAAGAACAAGACGACACGGCCGTTTGCTGTTTGCGTCGTGTGCCGCAATACGGCTGACCGGCTAGTGCTTTCTCCCTTTCTCCCCTCTCTGGTTTAGACTAAACCAACCGAAACCGCGAAGTAGCTGTGTAACTTAGGCAAACAATGCCGGGCTGGACGTGGCCAGTGAGCTCTCTGGTGCTGGCGGGGCCCTGGGCGCCTGGGCGGGGCCCTGGCCGAAGGCCCACTGGACGCCACGCCGGGGGTCTTCTAGGGGCCTGAGAACACAGACGGCTGCGGTGCCTGGTGCCTGTGGTGCCTCTGCCAGCGCGGCGTCTCTTCTGGAGCGGACCCCGCTGTAATTGCACTTATAGCCAGGACAGTCCCTCTCGGTGTTTTCTCAGCAGAAACAGCGCACTCTGAAAGCGGCGGGGTGGGGCGCTGTGCTCACAAGTAGTGGGCCCCTGTACTCCTGACGGTCCCGGCCAGCAGCACCAGCCCTGCCACTGAGGGACTCCGGAGGGTTGCTTTGAAGTTGTTTTGGCATCCGGTCCGGCGGTCCAGCGGTGCTTTCGGACCTCCGTCTCTGTCGCTCTCGAGGGGCCTTGCGTAGCGGTGCGAGTGAGACAGAGCGATGAAAGCCTTGTTCGGGATCAGCCAGCAGGACGATGACGCACCGCCGCGCCGTGCCGTGCTTTCCCACGAGAAGCAACTAGGTAACAACGGGGCGCTGGCATGGCGCTATTGCTGGTGCTATTGCTGGCGCTGCTCTGATGGGCCTGGTTATCCTGGTTGGCCAGCCTGCCCGGCCTGTCCCTGCCGGCCTGCCCACAGGCTCCTCTCCAGTCGCACCAATTTGGCCGTCATCGCGCCGAGCAGCGCGCCGAGCGGCGCGAAGGTCATTATTCCTGGCCGAGGAGGAGAAGGAGGAGGAGGACCGCGTCGATGACGTCACAGCGACGTCACCGATACCGACGCCGCGCGCGCCGCTTCGAAAATTCCTCCGATCGCGCGAGCATAAATCTCTCTCTGCTGACTCCATCTTGCAGGCTAGTAAACTTGGATGTGGCCGAAACTAATTACCGCGAGGTTCCCGTCCCGGGGGACTAGCTGGTCTGGTCAAGTCAACCGGGCGGCCCCAAACCAGACCAGGCCGTCGAGGAACATTTGGCGCCGCTAGAGCAGCCACCCGGCCGGCCGGGCGGAATCGCGTTAGCTGGGCGATACTTGAAATTTGGTTACGGCTCGGCAAGGGCCAATTTCGGGGAGAATCTCTTCCGCGCGAGTGCCCCGCGATGGAGTGACGCATCCGGGCCTCTATCCAGGCTGGTGGGGCCCAGCGGGGCCCGGCTGAACCAGCGACCCTGCCGGCCGAGCCTGCCCGCGGACCCGGACGCCTGGAGCGCCAACACGTGGCGGCGACACGTGTGGCCTAACGGCAGCGGCGCCGCGTGCGTCCCCCCCCCCCGCAACCCTTTGAGCCGGCCCCGGCCATTCTATTTTCCGCGCGGCGCGGCTAAATATTGCCGGGTGTTCCTGGAGTCGCGGCTGGAGGCACTGGAAGGAGGCCGGGGAATGACGGGCCGTCCGCGGCAGACTCGAGGGCGACGACGACGACGACGACGACGACGACGACGAGTGGACCGGGAAATGAGTTGGGAAAGCGGAAAGCGGGAAAGCGGGATCGCGGGGCCGCCCACTCCAGCTCGGAATGAGTGTATCGACGCGCGCGGTCCCCCCCCCCTCTTCTCCTCCCGCCCCTTTCACCCCCTTTGTCTTCGCTCTTTTATCCTCGCCGGCTGCAGCGGCTCCCTTCTGCTTGTCGACTCGCCCGCCCCTCTCTCGACCTTTTTCTGCGAATCGCAGCCGGTTTCCCTGGAAAGCCTCCACACTACTGGCGCGCGGACAGACAAGTACGAGACGTCTGCCCGACGGGGACGGGCGGGCGGACAGACGGACGGGCAGACAGACGGACACGCCGACGACGTCGGGGTCATTATCGGCCAATGGAGAGACGGAGTGACATCACGGCTGCTGTTATCAGCAGGCCGACTGATTCCGCGCACAGAGTGCCTCGTCGCGCTGCCTCTCTCGCACCCCCTGCCGAGCGGCCCGCGCGTGCGAGAGAGGCAGAGCGTCGACGTTTGTCGGAGGCGGGCAGGCCGGGCCGGGCCGGGCCCCACACGAGGGCCGGGCCTGTGCGCCTCATGCACGGCCGGGCCACCGTCAAGCACCGCGACGCAGACTGAGAGGCACGTCGGCGGCCTGCCTACCTTCCGGGGCCGTGGGGGACGTCGGGGACGGCAGCCAACGGCAGCGCGGTGCGATGCATGTTGCAGTGAGCTGCTTTGCGTCCTCCCCAGTCCTCCCGGTGCGTCCCGGCGGCGCGTCTCCGCGTCACTCGGCCAGCCGGCCAGCCAGCGCCATGTGCAGCAGCGCTCGTTCATTCATTACTTACGCCGCCCCTGTCTCTGTCCCTGCGCGGCCGCACTTCGTACTTCGCACTCCAACGTGCATGAGTACACGCCACGCGCTCTTGGCCCGCACGCCCAAAAATGGCTCAGCAAACCGTTGTCTGTCACGCTGACGATTTGTTGCGCAACAGACTTCCACGGCAGTGCAAGTCGTAGAAAGATCTACGGCGCGGTCACTGCGGGGCGGGCTCGCGGTCAGTGCGTCCACTGTGAACGGGGTGAGCGGTGGCCGTGCCAGGTAACGAAGAGCACACGCCGATCACGGACGATTCGCGCGAAGAGCCCCTCGCAAACAATGACAATGACAGCTGTCGGTGACACCTGCCAGTGACTCGGCACCGCGACGCCCCGTCAACGGCCGGGCGGTCAGGGAGTCAGTGCACTGCATGCCGCCCGCTCCGCGGCGAAGACCGTCGTCCGTGCCCACCGGCCGCGCGGGCACGACTTCCCGCGACGCCGCGCGCATACCGATCCACTGGAAAGGAGTGCGTCTTTGGAACCGCCGCCACCCGGCCTCGGGGCGGCCACGCCACGGCGGCCACAGCGGACACTGACACACGCGGGGTGGCATCTGAACCGCCATCTGCGGCGGCCACCGGGCCACCATCTGACCCGGACCATCTAGCGCAGCGGTTCGGTTCGGTTCGCCGTAGCACGCCGGGGCTTAATCTACTCTCGACGGCGATCTGGGCGATCCGGGCAGCCCAGCCACATCGATTCTGCGCCAGCGGTCGACTAGTGAGGCGGTGGGCGTGACGGCATGCCGAAGTGCGGCGGGCCAGGCAGCCTGGCACTTCCCCGTCGGCCCCGCCCCGCCCCGCCCCTTACACTACCACACGTACCTGGCGGGCCGGGCGCATCATAAGGGTAATCCTGTCCTGGTTCGCCAGCGCGCTGGTTATTGGTAATCACAGAAACACACTTTCTTCTTCGTCGTGCTTTATTTCCCGTCAAAACACCCCGGGCGCTGAGGTGCGGCTTCCGGGTGCAACATGGACTCGGCGGTCACCGCGGCCGCTCGCAGCTCGCCCCCAGCTACCACTCGCCGGCACCGTGGAGCACCCACACTGCAACCGTCCGCGGTCCGCGGAGCGCCGGCAGCGTCGCCCGGCGTCGCGACGCGAAGACCGGCGCCTAACCTCAACACGTGACGCCGCGAGGCCGCGAGCAGCCGAGCCGGGCCGACGCTGTCGCGGGTCGCTGGCAGGCAGCGAGTGTCTCGGTGGAGCGGCCTGAGCGCACTGGCCTGAGTCTGAGAGAGCCCCGCGCGCCGCGCCGCGCCGCCCAGCCCGGCCATATGCCGTACTACTGTTAGAGCGATCGTAGACCCCTCCCCCACCGCTCGCCGCCGCCGCGCCCCACCCCACACTACCCCTCACTACGTCGCCCTGTGCGCGCGCGCTCTCGCGTTGGCCGTTGGGCCCCGGGCAGCCAGGCAGCAACGCCGGGTGCCCCGTCCCGCCCGCCCGTCCGCGGAGGCTGCGTGCGAAGCGTGCAAGGCGAGGGCGGGGCGTTTCGGACGCGCGTGCGGCACGCCACGCAGTGCACGCGGTTCAGTGTTCAGTCCGCGCTCTCGGCTGACATCGGCTCCTGCCGGAACTCGGGTCCTACGTTTCGGCGCGGCTTGCTCCGCCGCGGCCCACCACCCCGACCCCACCCGCCCCTCCGCCCCGTCCCTTGTCCCACCCTGCGGCCCCACCGCGGCACACCCACCCCCAAGACCGCCACCGCCCACCACGGCCCCCGGCCCGCCCCGGCCCGCCCCCCGGCCCGGGGGCGGCGATCGTTTTCCTTGGCTTGGCCGCCCCCAGCCAGCCGCGGCCGCCCCTGCCTGCCGGCGCGTAGCGAAAGGGTCATTTGGCGAAAATTCGTCATCGCCAAAATTCCGAGCGGCGACATCGCGCCGCAGCCGGTTGGCTTCCCAGACTCTCCAGCCTTTTCGCAGACTCTTCGGTTCAGCAGACGCTCCAGAATCGCCAGACTCCCAGACGACACGGACCGCTGCGAATTGAATCGGCTCGCCGTTCGCTTTCTGGGAACCCCATTTGCTGCCGGAAATTGGCATCCATGCCGTGGACACGGCGCCGGACCGGGCGGACACCCACCGGGCCGCCGGGTAGAATGAGTTGCCTACCGGCCGGGCGCACCGAAGCGACGGCGCCTCGCCTCGCCTCGCCTCACCTCACGCCTGCTCCCGTGTCTCCGCGAATCAGCATGCATCTGAATGAACTAGAGGCTCCTGCGGGTCGAACACACTGTGAAAAACACTCTGGGAATTTATTTTATTTCAGAACACGTTTTTGTACAAAGGTTTGCGTTGAGAGAGAGAGGAGCGCGGGCTGCTTCTGGTGGCACCGCGCCTTGCCGGCAGCGGAGCCGAGAGGAGCCACGAGGGACAAATTGAATTATGGACTGCGAATAAAGCCGTCAGAACTTGTTCGCCAAATGGAACTTTGTGTCGGTCCGCTCGCTTGCTCGCTACCGGGTCTTCGCCTCGTAAACGTAGCCGACTTTGTGGCCGGGCACGCCGGGGGGCAGGTAGGTGCGCACGGACGCGTCCTGGGGAGGCCCCTGCGGATGCAGCCCGTTGGGCCAGGTCGCCGCCGGCTGGGAGGGCGCCTGCGACCAGGTCGCCGCCGGCTGAAGGGACTTGATTCCGACGGGCGGACGCAGGCGGCCCCGGCCGCGGCCGTACGCTCCGCCGTGAACGCTGCCGCCGACGCCAGCCGCCGCCGCGGCCGCCAGGAACTGGCCCGGTTTGGGCAGGTGATCGCCCTCGGCCTTGAAGCCCTCGCCGCGGCGCGCCGTGTACGTCACGGTCTTGGTCTGCCCCGTGCCGTCGTTGTAGGAGAAAGAGCCCTGCACGTTGCCGGCCGCGTCCGCCGACTCCTGCTTCCTGCTGGAGTCCGTCTCGTACGAGTACGAGTAGCTGCCGTCGCCGGAGCCGCCGTCGCCGACCTCGGGGCCCTGCGTCTGCTGCTCGTCGCCGTCCTCCGGGCTCTGCGTCTGCTGGCCGTCGTCCCAGGACTGCTGGGTCTGCTGCTGCTGCCCCATCGCCTCGTTCCCGGGAAGAACCTCCTGCTTGGGCAGGTGGTCGCCCTTGGCGACGAAGCCCTTCCCGGCGCCGGCCTCGTAGTCCACGCGTCGGGGCACGCCGTCCGGCGCCACGAACGAGAAGCTGCCCTTGACGTTGTTCTTGGCGTCGGCCTGCTCCTCTCGGCTCTGGTCCTTCGTTGAGTACGAGAAGGCGTACGAGCCGTCCGGGCCACGGCTGCTCTGCGTGTCACCGCCGTCGCCGCCCCCGGAGCCCTCCCCGCCGTCCGTGGTCTGCTGGCTGTCGTCGCCACCAGTGCCCACGCGCAGGTCTATCTTGTCGTCGACGCGGATGTCGAGGTCAGGATTATCCGCTTGTTGGATGGGTGTCTCGGTGACCTGTTCCTGGCCTATGGGCTCCTGGCCAACGGGCTCCTGGCCGATGAGCTCCTGTCCGTCAATAGGTTCTTGTCCAATGGGTTCCTGGGCAATGGGCGCCTGGGTGCTGGGTCCCTTGACGCCGGGTCCCTTGGCGGGTCCGCCGGACTCGCTGAGCTCCGCGACGAAGCCCGTATTCGCCCCGGCGTAGTAGTCCACCCGCCGCTCCTTGCCGTCGTCCTTGGCCACGAAGGTGTAGGAGCCCTCCACGTTGTTCTTGGGGTCGCCCTGCTCCTGCCGGCTCTGGTCCTTGGTGCTGTAGGAGAAGGCGTACGAGCCGTCCGCGCCGCGGACGCTCTGCGTGTTAGCGTCGCCGCCGACGGGGGGCTGCTTGGGGCCGTCGCCACCCAGGTCTAGCTGCTGCGCGCTGTCGAGCACCTGCTGGAGGCTGTCGTCGCCGCCGGACTGCCAGGACGTCTGGATGCCGCCGGCCGGGCCGGCGGGCTCGTCCTTGGGCTGCACGTTGGCGACGAAGCCCTTGTTGGCGCCGGCCTCGTAGTCCACGCGGCGCTGCACGCCATCCGGGCTGGTGTACGAGTAGCTGCCCTGCACGTTGCCGCCCGCATCGGCCGCCTCCTGCCTGCTGCCGTCCTTGCTCTGGTAGCCGAACTGGTAGGACGCGTCGGCGGGGCCGGAGGGCTCGGGCTGGGGTTCCGGCTCGTCGGCGTCCCACTGCCCGCCGGCCTGCTCCCAGCGGCCGTTGCCCTGTACGGGGATCTGCACGGGGATGGCGACGGCGGGGATGAGGAGAAGGGGCGGCGGCGTGGGCAGGTGCGCGCCCTGCGCCACGAAGCCCGTGTTGGCGCCGGCGTGGTAGTTGACGGTGCGGTCGCCCTCCTCCGTGCGGAACGAGAAGGTGCCCCTCACGTTGTTGGCGGCGTCGGCGGACTCGTGTCGGGACTGGTCGCCCGTCGAGTACGAGAAGCTGTACGAGCCGTCAGGGCGCAGAGGCCCCGCGGGACCCACGTGCGCCCCCTTGACGGCGGGCGCGTGCGCTGCGGGGGCGTACACCGCCGGGGCGCCGACGCTCCACCCACTGGACCATCCCGACTTGACTCCTGAAACAACAACGCACCATGTTAACCCTCAACGATTTCCTGACTCGCAAGCCCCGAGCTGACGTACCTTGCGGCGCGGGTGTTGCCGGCGGCGCGTGGCCCTGACCCTGGCCGTCGGCGACGAGGGTGGGCACGTAGCCGTTGACGCCGGCCGTGTAGTGCACCTGCAGGCCGGGCCCCGCCGAGTACGAGCCCCGCACCTCGTTGTTGGCGTCGCCCTCCACCTGGGCCGTGGAGCCGCGGCCGGTGTCCCAGCCGTACTTGAAGCTGCCGTCCGCGTGCTGCAGGCTGTACTGCGCGCGGTGGCCGGCGGGGATGGCGGGCACGCGGCCGCCCTGCGCCGCGGACGACGCCAGCAGCAGCACCAGCGCCTGCGACAACAAGGCGGTCAAGCAGGAGTACGTGGAGCGCCTGCGGAGCGCGGGGTAGGCCAGCCCGCCGCCCAGCCCTGCATGCCCCGCGTGGTTGCCTACCCCGCGCTTCGCAGGCGCTACTATCGCTATTGACGACTGCGGCGCAGCGCGACACTCAGTCCCACTGGACACTGGACCTTCACGGCGTGCTCGGCCTGCTCGGCCTTCACCCGGGGAATGCCATTCGCGTCTGACTGCCGGCCGTTCTGGCCGACGCAGCATCGCTGCTCTGCATCATGGCGATCATGGCGCGATGGCAGGGCAGGCCGAGCTTCCGCGCCAGCAGCCCGCCTCAGTCAAGACCCTGCCCGGCCGGGCATCATCCACGCACAATCCCAGCATCCAGCGTCGCGGCGGCCATTAAGCAGAGCAGAAGGAAGGAGGAGCGACGGAAGCGTCACGCCAGGCCTGGTTAATTTGCGCGTCTGTACTTTTCATAGGCGCCGTCCGTACACTGTGCGCTCGTGTCTAAATTGTATTCCCTCCCGTGTCATGATTGGTACGCGCATTTTTGCCGAGTTTCACAAACGGTGCGTGTGTAGCGTCACAACTACTCTATTCAGCCTAGCAGCACGTGATCTGAAGGGAAAACCCCGAGAGAGTTCGAGTTCGATTCCTCGAGCCTCCTGCTCGTCCAAGGGCGTAACAGGGCGTCGCCTGCGTCACCGGAGCACACGCCCCGCGCCGTGAGGCGCACCGTAGCCGCACCGACCCGTATTTGGCCAATCGATTCTCGCTTTCCGTACCTCCCGCGTGCTTCGCTTCTCCCTTCTCTCTCGCGCCCTCACGGGACGGCTCCACGCGTGCGACGGAGACGGTCCGCAGCACCTCCTCGAGGTGGCCGCCGCCGCCACCGCAAGATGAAGACGTAGTGTGTGTTGGTGTGTGTACAGGCGCGCCGCGGGACGCCCGCCTCGGGCCTGCCTGCCTGCCTGCCTGTTGTCGCTTCGCACTGCTTTGCATCAAGATGCATTATTTGTGGCGCCGCTCGTTCAGTTTGTTTTCGTCGCCGTGCGTGTGTGTGTGTGTGTGTGTGTGTGTGTGTGTGTGTGTGTGTGTGTGTGTGTGTTGTGTGTGTGTGTGAGCATGAGCAGTGGCCGTCCCCGCCGCTCGAGTTGCGTGCTTTTCACGCCGCGGCTGCCGCGGCTCCTCCTTGGCACGCGGCCCGCCCCGCTCTATTACTCCACGGCCTGCATTGCTGGCCTGGCGTTGCGTCCGTCGCTGTATCGGTAGCGAGGCGATGAGCAGACGCGGGCCACAGCGATGACGTGTGGCGAAGCACGCCGTAGCACGCGTAGCGACGGCGGGGGTCTCCCGCCACGCCGCGCCGCGCCACGCCACGCGCCGTCCGTATAATCGCTCGCGTATAATACGCACGCCGCTGGAGCCGCTCGCTGGAGAAGCTCCAGAGTCGTTCCGTCTGACAAAGGAAGAGGACGGATCTGGAGTGAGCCGGCCTCTGGCCGCGGACTGAGGAGACGAGACGAGCTCGTCGTTCTTGCTCCCCTTTTATTCGAGCAGTAATGACGAATGTGTCAATTAGTTTCCGGCCGAAATGGCTCGCCGCGCCACGGCACGGCACGCCACGCACATTAGCATAGGCCGTGCTCTTCTTGTTGTGCGCGCAGCAACAGAGGCGTGTAAAGTCTCGGGCGGGGCTGAATTCCTGCCGGAGTCTTCCATGCTGTCATGTCTGTCTGCATGTCTACTGTATTTCTGGCCATCGTCGGCGTTTCATGATCTTTTTGAAAAAAGCATTCTGCGCCCGCGGTTTCCGGTTTCCGCTCAGCTTGTCGGGCGTATTGTATCAAATTGCAGCCGCAGGAACGTCGAGTGACATTCACTGAATGTCACATTTTTTTTGTCGAAATTCAAAAATTGTGAAAGGAAACCGATTTAATTTGCAGCTGACGCATTATGTCTTAAGGTCGGAGCTTGCACGCAATTCTGCATTCTACCTGATGGGGAAAAGCCGGTTCATAATCCGACTGACATTGTTTTCGTCACAGACTGCGCAAATGTAATGGGAGTTACACTATAAGAAACCCTTTGACGGCGAAGTAATGGAGTTACACTTGGATACATTTTGATGGTGAAGCACTCCCGAAATCACTCACCTTCACACAGGCGCTGGGCATGATGACCGGCGGGTTTCCTGCGGCAGGGCACTCCTCCACTGGAGGAGGACGGACTCACACACACACAGACACACACAGACACACGCACGCACCGCTGGTCCACGCAGCCTCCACGCTCGGCACTCTCTGTCTTACTGTCCATCAGATAACGACACTAGTATATATAGGAAACGGCGGATGGCTCCGGCGAGGCTCCTGATTGGTCGCCGAGCGGCGCTCAAGTTGGCGCCAAGCGATTTGAAACGCGCGCGCGTCGGCACGGCGGCGGCGGCGGTGGCGGCTGGCGGTGGCGGGAAATCTTTAAAACTTTAAAAAGCTTTGGAATTTCCTCGAAATTTAATCGAAAACGGCAATAAAACGAAGAAAACTTTCGCAATGAAAAGCGAGACCGGACCCCCGGCTTTCATCAGAACGCAACGACAACACTCGCTCCAGTCATTCCACGAGGAACACGTTGTTTTTTTCACCCCGTTCTATTGTCGTGAACCCGGCTGACTCTTTTTCCCCCCTTGTAAGGTTTTATTTTTTTAACCATTTGCGCCGGACAGCGAGCGCGGGGCATCAGATGGCAACGTCTGCAGGAGCATGTAGCCGATGTAGCCTCGCGCCAGGTGTTGCTCGAGGTGTCGATGCGGTGATTTGTCGCGCCACTGGAAGGCCACTGTGGACCCTCACCCTTCTCCCTTCAAAATGCACCGCCTTGTCAGGCAACAAATGGAGCCTCTTCGTTCCTTTTGGTTGTGTTTTTGTTTGTTTGCTTACGGCATTCTCCCTTGCAATTTCATACCGGGAATACACCGCTTTGGTGGATAACGCTTCCTTTTTTTCCCTATCCTCGTTATCCTAATGCAATTGTTGATCAACTAATCCTTTGTGTTTCTTTATCCTCATGGAAATGCAGCAGCTCTAATTGATTGGTAAAAGGCGGATCCAGAGGACGCCGCTACTTTTTCACTCGACCGTGGACGTCTCAACCGTCCCGGCGGCCGTGGTGGAGACGGTGGAGACCAGGACGGCGTCCGTGGCGCAAACGATTCGACCGCTGCATCCGTTCAAAACGCAAGGGCGCCGCGGCGGGAGACTGGCAGCAGCGCTACTAGTACGCGGCGCGTAGCAGCGTCTCTCGCCAACGACCATACCACGCTGGGTCCACCGGTTCCCTTCCGCACACCGAAGTTAAGCAGCGTTGGGTGCGGTCAGTACTTAGATGGGTGACCGCTTGGGAACACCGCATGCCGTTGGCATCCCTTTTGCCAACGTTCCTATTTCAGATTACTTAATGACCGCCCCTTTTTTGCCACTTCCGGTCACGTGCCGCAAATAAATTTAAATAAAAGCTAGCTGGCACCTTTAAGTGTCTTGTATTGTTCTAGGTACGTTTTAAAGTAGTAAAGGTATCATCTGCTAAAAAAATTCACGGTCGGTGGCGGCGTAGTCCGTAGGAGGGTCTCGATGACCGCGTAGGGTGTAGGGTCGCGGCATGCTCCAGGTTGTCAAATGGCACGCGCTTCCGCGCGCTTCCTTGGCGATGAAACTGACCGCCGCGTCCGGACACGAGGCTCGCGCGCACACTGGCCACAGCCTGGCCAGGGATGGCACTTGCAGTGCAGGCCGCACGGGATGCGCCGCGGAGCGCCGTCTCAAGGAAAACCGCATTGCTCGCCCAGCGGCCGGCCAGCCCGGCCGGCAGCCCGGTCCAGCAACACGCCCACACCCAGCCCTTCCCCCTTGCCAGGCAGAGGCAGCCCCGCCGAGCGAATCCGCAGCGTCTCTCTCGCACCCCCACGGGACGAGTGCGACGGAGACAGAGCGACGAATCGGTCAGTCAGTCAGTCAGTCAGTCCACTGGGCCGTTACTCCGCTGTAAAGCAAAGGCACCGTTTCGCGAACCCTGACCCCGCCCCGCCCCGTCGGCCTGGTGATTGAGGGCTCTGCGCTGCGGGTGGCCTTGCAGTGTAGTGTGTCACTTCAGAGGGAGTCGCTGTTTTATTATCGCCGTGTGGAGCGGCAGAGCCGCCGCTGTTACATTTATTTGTACGTTGAACGGCTGCGACGTCTCGGGAGACAGATAGATGCCCCGGCGCTTTAATGCCTTAATGTGGTGCATGCAGCCAGGACACGGCCAGGACATGCGAAGCACCGCGTCATCTCCCAGAGTGTGTGAGTGAATGCAATCTGATGCTAAGGAAACGACACCACGGCGGACTTGTGTTTGTATAAATATTATATTTGACATTTTTTCACAGACGTACACTTTAAAACTCAGAGTATTTACAAATGATGAGGGTCGACAACAATGATGAAACAAGCAGCCTCCCTCTGTTTGGTCGAATAAATTATTATTATTATCATTACTGTGAAGGGGTTAGCGCCGCCCGTTGGTCAACAGGGCACCGATATTACCAGGTTCTTCGGTGAATAAAAATTATCTGTAATATGGCTTATGAACGACTCTAAACTTATTTTCGCGTGAATTAGGAACTTAAATTACTTGCGAGCAAAGAACTGAACTGGAATGATCACTGTCACAACACGACGGATTAGGTTTCCAATATTGTTACCAACATAACAAACAGCACAAAAAATTCTTTGTTTTCTAGCAGGTAACTATAGCACTAAGGTCTTTCACAAAAAAATTATTAAATTCTATTTAAGTGTTAATGGCCTGACCTAGCATAGGCGAAGAAGCCTCAGCAACGAAAATAGAGTAGTCCAGGTTGACAGGAACTTCCAGCGGCAACCTTGAACTGAGATCGTCTCGGCAATCAGCAGAGCGTCGCGGCGCGGCGTCCAAGCCAGAGAGCCAGCAGCCGGGCAGGCGGTGGAAGCCAGCGCCCTCTACTCGTCAATTTGTAGAACGGCGGGCTCCATTAGCGCCACGCACTGTTCGCGCTCTACGCAACCAGACATTTGGCGCCGTCGGCGTCCGGCGGCCACCGTGGCTGAATTTCTCATAGCGAGTCAGTCTGTGATCGCGGCGGCCGTGTTTTCACGCGGCGGCCGGCGCAGACGTGGTGGTCGTGGTGTTGCTGGCCGGGGTCGAGGCGACAGCCTCCGCCGACGCTTCCTCGCTCTCCGCGGACTCCGTCTGGGCGTCGCGGTCCTCGCCGCTGCCCTCAGGCTCGGCTGTCGTCGTCGTGGCCTCGGTGACGGCCTCCGCGATCCTCGGCGGTTGAGCGGGGACGCCCTGGCGTCCGCGCGGGCCGTCCGCGGGGTCGACGCTGCGCTGGCGGTGCGCGTGGATGGACTGCTCCTGGCGGATGAAGCGTTCCAGCGCCTCTCCGGGGTCCATGGCGCGGTGCTCCGGCTCGAACGGCATCAGGTCCACGGACTGCACGTGCGCGCGGACCACGGCGCCGGCCGGGAAGGGCTGCGCGTTGAGCGCCTGGTGCCCCGGGTACAGGCCGCCGTCGCGCTCGTCGCGGAAGCGGTGCGGCCGCTGCCTCGTCGGGCAGCAGTTGCCGTACGGCACGGGGCCCCAGTGGGGGCGGCCGGGCCAGGGGCCGCTCACGCCGCTCACGCCGCCGTCCGGGTCGAGGAAGTCGTCGTCGGGGCCGAACACGTCCACCGCCACGCCCGGCTTGCTGGGCAGGCGGCCGGGCCGGATGGTGGTGGGGTAGATGACGCCGCTCGCGCCGCTGCCGCCCGGCCGCACGAACGGCTTCTTGGGCCGGTTGTAGTCGTAGCCGGAGCTGGTGCTGGAGACCGGCCCTTCCGACGGGTTGGCGTATATCGGCGTGGGGTTGAACAGCGAGTCGAAGTCGTCCTCGGACGGCGTGGGGCGCGGCGTTGTGGGTCGGGGCCGGGGTCGCGGCCGAGGGCGCTTGTTTGGCCGGGGGGTGGACGACGGCGCGGTGGGCGAAGGGGACGCGGAAGGTCCCGTGGTGGCGAACGGGTCCAAGAAGTCGTCTCCGGAGTTTGGTGACGTGGACGGCGGGCGGTATGTACCGGCGGTAGAGCCCGTGGTAGAGCCAGCCGTTGTGCCCGTGGTGGAGCCCGCAGTGGGCCGAGGCCGCTGCGTGGGCCGCGGGGTGCTGCTGACGTCGCCGCCGTCGCCACCGTTGCCGCCGAACAGGCCGTCGATCGCGTTGTCGTCGTCGCCGGACGAGCCCGAGGTGGTCGTCGGGTACGACCCGGACGACGGCCGCCCGGAGAACACTTCGTCGTCGGGGTCTGCAGGGTCGATGGACACGGAGGGCTTCGGCTTCTTCACCGGCCGCACCGATCCAGGGCGGCCTCCTGAGCTGCCTCCGCCGTAGTTCGTGCCTGAGCCTGAGCCCGGCCGAAGCGGCGTCCCCGTCTCCCCGGGGAACAGCTCGGAGAGGGGGTCATCCACGTCGCCGAAGGACAGCGGAGGGACGTAGGGCAGGCCGGTCGGCAGTGGCCGCGGCGGGATGTACTGGTTGTTGGGGCGGCCGGTCGTCGAGGACCCGCCGTACCCGCACACCGCCGGCTTGCAGGGCCTCGAGCCGCCACCGGAACCATTGCCCGAGCCGCCGGAGCCGCCACCGATGGGCCGCCCCGTGACGGGGAACACCGACGGCGACACCGAGGAGAAGGGCGGCGCGTAGGACGACGACGGGAACGTGGTGGGGAAGGGCGAGGGGAACGGGGTGGGGAAGGGGGAGGGGAAGGGCGACGAGGGGAAGGACGGCGAGGTGGGCGACACGGGGAAGGGCGACGAGGAGAAGGGCGGGTAGGAGGTGGCGTAGTTGGGGGGTATGACCACGCCCTTGTGGTTGTTGACGATGCGGTACCCGATACCCGGGCCCGCGATGTACTCCACCGTCTGCTGCACGCCCTTGTCGTCGATGTACGAGTACGAGCCGCGCCGGTTGTTCACCTGGTCGCTCACCTCCTCGCGGCGCGAGTCAGGCCCCGCGGCCACGAACCTGAAAGAGAGAGATAGATGGGTGGATGACGTTCGCGCTGCTAGGGACGCGACCCGCGCGTCTCGCGGCACTCATCGCCTACCTGTACGAGCCGTCGCGGTTCTGCATGATGCTGGTGCGTCCGCGCGGGGGGTTGCCGGGGCCCAGGTGGTAGCCGGGGGCCGGCACGTTGTCCGGGAAGGCCGTCAGCACGTTGAAGCCCTTCTCGGCGCCGGCCTCATACTGCACCACGTGGCGCTCGCCCACGTCGTCGATGTAGCTGTACACGCCAGTCACGTCGCCGCGCCCGTCCGCGTCCTCCTTGCGCGCGTACGTCGGCGTCCTGAACGCGAACGAGTAGCTAGGGTCCTCCAGGGGGTCGAAGTAGTTGTCGTACTCGGGGCTGTAGCGGCCGTCCTGCAGGCAATCAGGTTGTCCGTTGTGAGTCCAGAGGTCAGCGGAAGGAGGACGCCCCGAGCCAAGGACAGAGCTTACTGGCGGCGGTCTGGGCGCGCGGCCCCCGGACTGCGACAAGTCCATCTTCCTGGCGATGTCCGTGCCGCGGGCCCTGAAGCCCCTGGGTCCGGCCGTGTACACCGTCTGCACGGGGCGGCCATCCGCGTCCCGGTACCCGTACCTAAAAGACACGCAAAAAAGACTTAATTACAATTTCAAAAAGTGGCGGGATTGAATATGACCGCCAGTGCTGCGTAATGGCATGCGGGACATCCCCGGGGCGGCACGGCGTGGCGCGGCGAGCTGGCCGGGGTGGGGGCACAATGGCGCGTTTCCTCCGAGTTGACGGCGGCACGGCGGCGTCGCGGGTCAGGAGGAAAGAAAGGAGGAGGACAAGGCCAGATGCCTGATAAGTGCAGCACCTCGGCCACCGCCTCGGCCTCCGCGTCCATCGCCCGGGCCAGGATGGCCACGGACCGCGGGCCGGGCACGGGCCACACACGCGCCGCGCCGAGCCGAGCACGTCTGCTGCCGATATCACGCCCATTGTCCGCCCTTCGGTGCCCTTCGCTGCATCGCTGCCCTTCGGCCAATTATTCGCAGACAATGCGCATGCGCCCTCCGATTTGAGGCTCGCGCCGTGCGAGCCGTGCGAGGCGGGAGACGGACAGATCCTACTCGAATTCAGGCGGCAGGCCGGCAGGTGAGAAGCAACTCGCGTCGTTTTGTCCCACAGGCCGAAACGGCAGCGTCGCGGCGTGCGTGTGCGTGCATTTCCCTTCCACGGCGGAGGCGGCAGGGCACTGTCACACTCGGCTGCGACGGCCATGACCGGGCCCATGACTCGGTCCATGGACTGGGCCCCGCTGCCGAGCCGCGCGCTGCGCCTGGCGGGAGGCCCGGGAGTCACACGGCTGCTGCATGGCGGCGCGGCTGCCAGCACGTTTAGCATGCCGCGCCACTGCCGCCACCCACCCACGCCCACTGTATATGACGTCAAACGCGCGGCCGGCAAAAGGACGAGACGAGAAGAGCGAGCCCTCTGCCGCCGAATGCACACACCACCGGGTCGTCCCAGGCTGTGATAGAAAAATCAAAACTCAACAAAATTCCAAAAAGCTCAAAATTTTGCAAAAATTTTGTCAAGTGAGCCCGTATTTTCGAGGAGCCAAACAGTGTTTTCCTCGATCCATGGCCACTGGCAGGTGCGACAAGCAGGACAAGTTGACTTTCGCCTCGCGGTGCCGGAGTGCTGGCCCCACCGGGCCCCACCGGGCCCCACGCCCCGCGGGCTCATTAAGGAGTTCGCTCAACCACGCAAGAGCCCCCCCCCCCCTCTCCCCCCCGTGTGAATGTCCGATCCTCTTCCCCGCGGGTCATGCAGCACTTCTTGGTGTTTACTTCATTATTCAGAGAGCGTCCTCCGCGCCAAGGGCAGCTCGCCGCCAAGCCCCCGAGCACCCGTACCTCGCGCAGGGATACGAATTCGCGCGCCCAGGCGCGCCCAGGCGCGTCTGCATGGGAAGTCGACATTGTCTTCCCGATTTTGTGTTTGTGAGCCACGAGCGGGTAAGCGACGTGTTGAACACGCCAGACGCTGTAATTTTATTCCCGTAGGAAGAGAGCGGGCCTCGCTTCCTCTCCCAGAGGGTCAGCCGCGGCGGCGCGGGAAAATTCAAACGAGGCGCTCCGTCCCGATTGGCCGGCGGCTGGCCCTTGGGCGCCTTGGGCTCGCAGGCCAGCTACCCACCTGCCGGCGACCAGGTTGTCGCTGTTGGCCTGCTCGATGCGGAAGTGCTCGCCCTCGTCGTTGGTGTTGTAGGCGAAGCGGTAGGAGCCGTCGGGGTTCACGTCCACCTGCTGGAAGTCCACGGACGGCACCTGCACGTTGACGCTGTGCCGGCCTCGGCCCTGCCGCGACACGCGGACCTCGTCCGTGGCGGTCTGCAGCGCCTCCATGGAGGCCTCGGCCTCGTCCTCCTGCCGCGTCACGCGCACCTCGGGCTGCAACAGCGTCATGGGTTCAAATACCGATAGCAACAAAAACTCGAACAAGGTTTACAGCACTCAGCTTACGCGCAAGGAAGCTGCCTTGGCGTCCTTGGCGTCCTTGGCGTCCTTGGCGGGGGCGTCGGTGGCGGCCTCTGTGGCGGGTGGCGGCGGCTCGGTCACCAGGGCGGGCACGCTGGCCAGGGCCGGGCGGCGCTTGGCCTTGGCGGGGATGGCACGCGTCGGCTCCGCGAGGGATGCCGCAGCGTCGCGGCTCCAGGCCTCCGCCGGGGAGGGCGTGTCCGTCAAGGACTCCGCGGGGGTCGCCGTCGGCTTCCTCGTGCCCTTGCGCGACTTCCTGCGTCGCTGGCTGGACTTCTTCTTCTTGGTGGGCTTGGGCTCGGGCGGCAGCTCAAACACCGGGGGCCCGCTCTGCTCCGCGTCCAGCGGCACGTCGACGGGGACCTCCTGCCTGGCAGCGCGGCCCGCCGCCTGCATGGACAAGAAGTGGGGAGAGGTGTCGTCCTTGCGTGTCGCGCCTGCTGGCGCCTTCACCGGCGCGGCATGCATTATGCGCGAGGTGAACTTTTCTTTCGGATTTTCCTTCAACTTTTCCTTTTGTTTACCTTCCGGCTGCGCGCGTTCCTCGCCGCCAGCGCCTCCCTGGACCGCAGCGAGCCGTCGCCCTGCCGCACCACCCTGCGCGCGTCCTTGTCCTTGGTCGAGGCGGACGACGGCCGGCGCCGCACCCGGGGGCCCTGCATCACCTCCACCCCGGGGGCGTGCAGGGTGTCCTCTGGCGCAGGAAAGGATAAAGACATTAGAGCGGGTGGTTGAACCCGGGGCGGACGGCGGCGCCGCTGCTTACCTGCCAGCTTGTTCTTGTCGGTGGTGGCGGCGGAGTCCGCGCGCGTTGTGCTGCCCTCTGGGACGCCCTCCAGGACGGGCGCAGGCACCACCACCTCCGCCTCCAGCGCCTCACGCGTCTCGTTCCCGGAGCCTGTCACCTTGCTCACGGTGATCTTGACGGACTTGGACGTGGATGCCTCGTGCTCGACGTGCCTCCGCACCGTCGCGTTGGAGTCCTTCTCATTGGCGTCGTCCTTGAGGGCCTTGACGGCCGCTTCCGGTTTCGCATCGACGGTGGCGTTCGACTTGAGAGATCCTTTCGCCTCAGCTGGTGCCTCTTCGTCGTCATCCTCGTCATCGTCGTCGTCGTCGTCACCATCGTCGCCGACATCGTCCTCCTCGTCGTCGTCGTCCTGGTCCTGAGTTGCCTTCGGCCCCTTCACGGGTGCCTGGGTGGTGACCGTTTCGAAGGCCAGGGGCGAGATCGCGTTGGTGGAGGCTTCGGCAGGGGGTGCAGGAGAACTGTCTTCGGCGGTTGCCGCCAGAGCGCAGCTTACTAGTAAGCAGAGCAGCGCCCACGTCTGGAAGCATTCCACGAGCCAAATCGAGCCAAATCAATAACCAAAGTGTGAAATCAACCCGAAACTTTTTCACATTTTTGCGCAGTTTGTGCTCTGTTTTGTTGTTTTATTCATCCGAGAACAGTGTCCAGGAGTCACGGCGTGTGAGTCCCACCCCTGCCGCTGCTTGCCGCTGCTTGCTGCCCGCGCTGCGCACACGTTGCCACACGCTTATCTCCCTTTTAACATTGTTATCACCCGATAGCACCCCGCCAGGCCGCGCCTCGCCGCGCCTCGCCGCCCCGCCAACGGCACACGCCGAGCACACGCCGCGGGCAAGGCGGCGGCGATAACGAATTTCACACCATTTTTCAGGTGGGGTGGCGGACAGGCGCTGAAACTTTCGCCATTCAAATAGAAAAATAAATGAAGAAGGGAGGGAATCGAGAACCTTGTCCGCTGATTCCGCACGTGGCGCCCCACCTCCTCAGTGCCGCCAGCAAGCCGACAGCCGCTATTGCCTTGCCTCTCCACCGTTAATTAATTCCCCTGTCTGCTCCGGCCTAGGTGGGTTTTGGAGGCCTCAGCCAGTCCGGGCGCGCAGCTGTTTAGCGACCATATCTTCCCTAATGACCCCGCCCCCTCCCCTTTCCTTCTGGACCCTCTGCGACGACGCCGCGGCGGCCGGGTGGCGGCCGGGGGGCATCCGGACCGGGCATCTCCAGCCTCGACAGGCATCGCGACGCCCCGGACCGGCGTCATCCAGGACGCCCCGCGGGAGGGGGGCGGGGGTCCGAAAACAATGGGCCCCGTGGCCCCGGTCATGGCGGCGCCGCGGAGTACGGTAGCGGCGAAGGCACGGTGCGGCTGGCACGCGCAGCACGCGAGGCGGCGCATTAGCAGGGACTCGTCCGGCCAGGGGTAGCGGGCCAGGCAGTGGATTTCGGCGTGGTGACCGCCAGACTTCCGGTCAAGACACTGCAGCGGCAGCGCTGTGCTGAGGAAGTTGAAAGGGACGCGACTGCCTGGACTATCTGCGCCAAGCGAGCCCATCCTCGGGTCTGGGTCCATCCTAGAGTCCATCTCCGTCGTTCAGGTCCGCCTCTTCGCGTCAGCGCTAAGGACCAGGGACGACATGAGCTTGCCCGCGGCCTTGTGTTTTCCACGTGGCGGCTGTTCACACGCTACGTACCTACGACAGTGAGCCCCGACAGCTAGAGTGGACACTAGAAAATTGGCCCAAGGAGACTTGACAGCGCCGTAGGATTTGAAAAAAGTCGAGGTTGATTGTAATAAAGTCGGTGTGAATTGAAAGATAGTGGGTGAGAATTGATCAACAGGCAAGCGGCTCGGCGGCGGCACTGGCTGAGGCTGTCTGTGTGAACGGTCGTTACCGCGTTGCCATCAAAGCGCGCAGTGTGGGATTCCCAGATTCCGACTCATTTCCATGCCAGGCGCGTGTCTTGGCCGAGTACGAAAAACCCTCAAGGTCGGGGAGTTGCCGTCCTTAAATCGGTCCATCAAATGAGTAAGATCCGGGTTCCATTCGGCGGACACCCCTTGGACACCGAGCCTTCGAGCGACGGGGGCTCGACTGGTGATGTCCAGCGTGTGATGGGCATTTCGGAAGGAAGAGGTAAAGTAGTGCTTTTTGCCCTTGTTCCGAAAATAACCTTGTGGCTTTTATCAATAAAGGACCGGCCGATCGGCACAATAAACAAACCAAAACAAACATTGGACGGGCGGTCCAGGGGACGGACCAGCGTCTGCAAATCGGGCGATTTGGTCTTGTAAACACTTGGCGCTGTCACTGCAGCGAAGTGCATAGAAAGTCGACTCATTCCCTGACAGCGGGATGATTAAGGGTTACAAGGTTTTACCCTGGGGCGAAAATTCAGCATCCGCCACCACCTCCCTCATGACACCCAAATCTTTGACCCAAACCGATACAGCCTAAAAATGACCTCAACGCCGGCTGAACCTACCATCTTCATCCTGCAGGTGGTATCCGCCATTGTGGTCCGGGCAGTTCACTAAGTGTCACTCACGCACACACTTGTCACGCGCTCGTCACACTCGCGTCACACTGCACTGCCGCGCACTCACGCACGTGCATGACGGCACCGCGGTACTCTCCTCGGCCGAGTCGACGACGCCGACGTCCAGAGCATAACACTCGCCAGGACGCCGGCGGCGGCGGCTACTATATAGACTCGGCCCCTTCCAGAGGCCCCCCACCCCCCGGCTCCGGAGCCCCTCAGCCCCTCGGACGCTCCAGGACGGGCCGCCCGGGGCCCCGGCCGCAGCTTCGACACCCACGCCGACGGCGGCGGTGGCGGCGGCGGCGGCTCGGCACCCTCCCCGCCCCGCGTCCGCGTCCACCTCTTCGATGGCACGTCGGAAGGCGCGCGGCGGCCGGCCCGGCCAATAGGAAACAATGGCCCTGGTGCAGCTCCTGCAGCTCCTGCAGCTCCAGCGCCGAGTCACCGAGTCTTCCTCCCACTCAGACACTCGGACAGCATTCGCCGTTTCCGAGTGCAGGCGACGCTGGGCGCCCCGCCGGCCCCGCCCCGCCACCTTTCCCCTCCTCCCCCTCCTCCCGCGCCGCCGCCAGTGGTTTGGGGAAGGTCTTGCTCACCGTGCGTGAAGTCAGTTGCCTCAGATAGGGATCTTCTTTCACACGGCGCCGCGCGCCGCCACGCCGACAGTGGCGGAGACGCGCCGCGGGGGGCGCTATGCGCCGCTATGCACTGCCGGGACGACAGTGTCAACATAACCTCGCCGCCACACGTGGTCCGGAGGGGGCCGAATGAGTGCATTAAAAATGAATGAAAGTGAAACAAAAATAAATGAAAACTGAACAAACAAATGAATGAAAATTGAATGAAAAATGAAGAAATTAACGACTGGACGTGCGGCTCGCGCAAAGGTAAACAAACACGACAAATGAATGAATGAACGAGTGCAGAGACGGCGCGCTGTCCCGAATGCCTGAATCCCTGAATCGCCGTTCGTTAGGGCTACGCCGTGGCTGCGCCATGGCTGCGCGCTGCACGTGACGATACGCGAGGCAATCGAGTTGCCCGCGTCACAAGCGCCCCTACTCGGGATGCGGGGGCCGCGACGTGCCCCTCCTGTCTGTCGCCGCTGCCGGCTGCGTCCGCGCGCTTCGCTCTCTCTCTCTCACTCACGGCGCGCCCCGCGTGGGGGTGCGAGGGAGACAGAGACTGCTCGGAAGCCGTGTGCGGACCCCGGGACGGCGTCGCACCCCTTTTCATGCCCGGGCAAATACGCCGTGTCGCGGAAGTGGCGGCAAGTGGCGGCAAGTGGCGGGAAGTGGCGGTACTTGTCGCCGCTGGGCGCTCACGCCGGCCGGCCGAGGCGCCGACGAGCCGAGGCTGGCGGAAGGGGCGGAGAGGGCGGAGAGGCGCCGCCGTGCAATGAAAATTGAACGCGGTGCCGCGGGGGCGGCTCAAGGTTTGGGCGGGCCGGAGTGCCGGAGGCGGAAGACTAGTAAAAGGGCATCATTGTCATAGGAGGACGCCCCGGCCGGCGGCATTGAGGGGCCCGGAGGGCCGGACAGCCGGAGAAGAGTCGGCCGCGGGCTGCAGGGCCGTCGACCAGGCCGTCGGCAGCCTCCGGCCGGGCGCGAGCGCGATGCCTTCAAGCGACTTAAAACAAAGGCGCTCCGAAGGGAAGGCCCTCGGAAGCAAGCGCGGCCGAGAGCGCGAGGAAGCGAGGAGGCGAGGAAGCCGGCGTTTTACTCCGGAATGGCCGCGGAAAGCCATTCCAGTCATTCAAATAAATCATCCCAATGCAGGTGGAAGAAAGAAGACCCTGCTGCGGCCGCGGCCTTGCAGGCCCTATCCGTCTCTACCTTTCGGCCTTGGGTCGTTACGATCGGAAGGGCTTGGCTGGGGGCCACGCGTAAGCCGCATCCGTTTGGGAAACGCGGACAGGGAGGTGGTTCTCCGCCCGGAGTTCCGTCCCGTCCATGTATTGCGCGCCATTTATAGGGGCGCCGGGATCGTTTGGGAACGGCGGAATCATCCTGGTGGCCGGGTTCGTGGTCCGCTGCGCTAACGAGAGCTAGCCACACCACGCCGCACCGCGATGGCGCCCCCCCAGGCCGAGCCGCCACTGAACCGCGACACCGTGGCTGCTGGCCCTGCTGGCTGGGCATGGCCCTCGGCCTGGGCGCTGGGCCTGGCGGCTGTCGATGCCCCTTTCAATTATCAGACGCGTCGACCCGGAACGGTAGCTCCAAGTAAAGGCGCTGTTCTGACCGCAAAATTTTTCATGAAAATAGAGGGCGCGAAAAGACGGGCAGCATCCCGCGCCGTGCCGAGTGCCGAGTGGGCTGAGTGGGAATCGGGAGGTTGAGGAAAGGAGTCTCGAAAGGAGCCCACTCCGAGGCGTGCGTGCGCGAGCGCGCCAGCGAATATCTTTTTCCCACGGGGCGCCACAGTCGGTGTCTCTGCGCGGCCTGCCTCAGGGCCTCGTCGAGGATGGCGTCGCCGTCGAGATGGCCATCCTCGCCCACGGCGTCCATAAGTCCCCGGGCCGGGCCGCCGCGCCACGCCACTGCTTCCTGGCCGTTCCATCTGCATACGTGGCGCAGCACCGTTTTTCTCGAAACGCGCGCTCCGCACACAAAGGGCGGGGGTGGCGGACCTAACGCGCGGGGCGCGGACGCAAGGGCAAGAGGGATATTACCGTGCAGAGAGACGCTTCGCTTCGGCCGGCGACGCCGAGGCGACGCCCGCCCGTCCCATCATGCATCCCATCTTGCACCGCACGTATGCTTCCGCCATTTAAACCGCGCGCTCATACGGCGGCGTCGCGACGGCGACCCACGTCCGGGACGCCAGGACGAAGGTCTGCCCGGATTACTCTCGTGTTCGTTCCCGCTCGTTTGAGCTGCCCCGGGCACCGCGCCCCAGCAGGCCCGCCGCGCAGCGCCGTCGTCGTGCCCGTTGTCGTATCCCGGGACATTTTTCTTCGTCAGCGGAGACGCGGCGCTGTCCCCCCGAGGGCGGCAGGGCAGGGCACGGCACTGCAAGCCACGGCACGGCCGGGCCCTTCTTCCTCCTTCACGATTGTCTCGTTTACATGAAAGATTGGTCGAGGCCCGTCGTTGGCTCGGCGGCTCGCTAATTTCCCTCTCTTTGTTTTTCTCGTTCCTCAAAATCCAGGGCCGCCGGCGTCAAGTGTTTCGCGGAACCTCGCCGCTGCTGCTTGAAGCTTGATGCTCTGCTTCGAGTGGATCAGGACGTCCCTGCCCTGCCGTCGGCCGGGCCGCGCGACGGACGGAAGCGACCGGTTTGCCGCGCGCCTGACAGCCTGTGACGTGGCGTGACGCTCTGCGAGCTCTGCGACAACATCACGGCGTGGAGCCCGCGCCGCCAGCTGCCGGCATGTCCGCGGCCTTTGGTATCATCTTCGGCCTCTACCGGCATGCCTCTTGCCTCCCACACTGCCCGCGGCACTGCCCGAGGCACTGTCCAAGACACTGCCCGAGCAACGCGCACGGCGCGAGGCCAGCCCGCTGCACACGTCAGTTCGACGGGACTGCCTACCTCCCGGCTGACAGGCGCCTGCGCGGTAGGCTGGCCCGCTGCACACGTCAGTTCGACGGGACTGCCTACCTCCCGGTTGACAGGCGCCTGGTGATGATCAACTTTAGGTACTTCCCTCGCGGCGTCCTCGTGAGCCTTGCCTCGCCCGGAGTGTCCTCACCCTTGGCGCTCACCGCTCACCGACTGCTACTTCCCGACCCCGGACGTACGTGCATTTGGGCCCCGGAGCCGCCCCGCCCCGCCCCGCCGTGTCGCACCTCTCAAAACAATGACCCTTTCCTTTCCTCGGCGTGGCACGGCTTGGCTGGCACGGCACGGCCGCGCCGCCCTTGGCCGCTGCTGGCCGTTCGTCATTATCGCGAAGCCATGCGCGGCGTACGCCGTAATTGAGGCATTGTGCTCATGCGCTGCAAGGAAAGAGAGGAGAAGAACCAAGAAGAACCCGGGCCGCCCGGCCGCCAGCATGCATCGTGTTCGTGGGGATGTCGGACATGTTGCGCGCGGATCCCTTGCCTGCCTCTCGACGCCAGCCGCGGGGGCGTGCCGGGGCGTGCCGGGCAGGCCGGGGTTGCACAAGCCAACAACGACGCAATAAAAATAAAAGTGAGGAGGAAGTCCCTCGAAAGGCTGTAAAGCGGGGGGGAACCTTGCGGCCGCGCCGCCGCGAACTTCCCACGACCGCGACGTGGCGGCGCGTGGCGGTGCATAAGCTGACAAATTAGCGCCCAAGATTTATCGGCCACGCGACGTACTGTAGTGGCAGGGCGGGGCGGGGCGGAGTCGGCTCTCGCCAACAGGCTCTTTACACTGCCATCCATGCGATACGCTTGCCGCGATGGGACTAGGGCTTCCACCTCATCACCTGCGGCGGCACGGCGGTCGAGCCGACGGCGTCCCGGCAGTGCTCTTCCAGGTAGCCGACGATGTGCTCCCCCGGGACCCCAGAGGAGATCCACTCATTAGGTACCTGTACCTGCCCTCCCCCTGCCTCCCCCTGCCTGCCCCTAGCCCCCGCAGCCCCGTGGGGATTATGCAAATATTCGGGAGAGGTCCGTGACGCCCCCCCCCCTCCCAAGCCATTTCCTTCTTGCTCTTCCCATCCCACCCACCTATACGTTATGATGCTGGATGCTGGCCCAGGCCCAGGGGCCGGGGACTGCGGGGACCAGGGACGAGGCGACCTTCCCTCGCAGCCATGCAGAGCTGGACCGCGGCCTGGCGCGTAGCGCAGCCTGGGAACGTAACACTGACAGTGTGCTGGTGGACGGTTGGCCAAAGACCTAATCACCCGCAACCCGCTCCGAGATTCGTCTCGTGTTCTACCTTTATCAATTCCCCTCGTTTTGTGAAACTTGGGTAACGGAAATGAACAACATGGTGATAATGATAAAAAATATTTATTATGAGTACATCATGTTTATGGAATCTCTTTACATTTGCAATACCTGTACACAAACCTAAATAAGCTTGCTTTTAGGAATAAATAGAAGACAAGCAGACCAAATCTCAAATCTGAAAACTGGCAAAAATGCAAAACGCCTTAATTAGATTATTTCCAGCAATGACATGGCCTGTAAACAAATACAGAGGGAATGTTTTGAGATATGGTGCCATGTACTACCAGCAAAACAAGTTCACTTTCATTATCAAAATCTTTACAAGATAAAAAGGAGAGTGGCCACATACATATTTACATAGTACACTGTCTTACATAAAAAGATTGTGTCTTGTGTGAGGTAAATTTGTGAACATAGACTAAATCATTTTGCTGGTGATACAAACACATTTTCCACACTCGAAGATAGCAACTCGACTTGTGGGCTTGTAAGGATTGGAGAGTGAAAATTTCTTGAATGTTGTAACAATTATCTAAAATTGAGCTGTCAAAATTATAACCACACATGTGTGTTCAAAACTGGCTACAGCAAAGGGTAAAATCAAAGAAAACCTTCACATTAGAGAAAGTTCTAATGAAAAAACACTACATGAAACATAAGTCAGTCCTCTGGTTAAAATAAAAATTACAGGGCACACAAAAAAAATTTGTCCTTCCACTAAGTAATTCAGATATTTCTTTTTCTATCATGTCATGTAAGACAGGAAGACAAAATAAATATACTTTTTTGTTGTTGCTTATGGAAAAGACAAGGGATGAGCAGGGAGGAAAGACCAGTAGACATAAATACAATATGGTGAGCGAATTACAAAGCCACATATGTCCAGAAATTTAACTAAGAAAGACAAGTTCTACGACAGTTGATGACGGAAAGTTGAATGACTCACAAATCACTGAAAGGGCAATGAAACAGGGTGACAAAACTAGCAAAATAATCAACATCTAAATTGCATATGGAGCACTGATTATATGAATTGCATACATGAATTGATTGGAAGGGTACTACTTACGCTTCCGCATTTTAATGGATATGAATACTGAACACAACCAACACAGAAGAAGACTAGATGCTTTCAACCATAAAATAACCAAGCCTGTGACTGAGACCAGCAAGCCAATTCTATTTACTAGCAAACAGACAAACTGCATTTGTTTCCTTAAAGTTTAGAAAAAAACAAATTTGAAATCACTAAAAATATTAAAATTAACAAATTAATTATTATAATACAATGCCTTCCAAAGCATCAGGTGCAGAAGTGCTTCCCTGAATGAACTCCAGAAAGAATATTTATAATAATAATAAACCTCTCATTTCACCAAGGGATCACATACAAAACAAATGTATAACATTACAGAGTTAAGGCCCACTGTAACATAAGCATCATAGAATCACAGATTGCACTCAAAGGCAAAATAATAAAAGAACATTGAGTGACAAAACATGAGACTGAAGAGAAAAGTTAAGTAATATCTCCTACACACAGGAAGGCACAACTTAAACTAGAACTGGCAGTTATCATCATATTTTGTCATGTTTCTCAATATCATCAACAATGGAGAAAGATTTTTTTTTTAAAGAGCTCACATGTACAAGGTTCAGCCTCACAGGGAACACCCAGCACACTGCAAGTCTTTCTTTTTTCTCACAATTTTTCAAAGTAACTTGAATAAATTTCCAATTGCAAGCACTTCTAAAATACTGTTCAACACAGGTGCCTCACAAGATATAAGTATGTATGATACAGTAATATCATATACATATATTACAAATGATCAATGAAATAAATAGTGTGTAATTTGGATGGTAAAGTCTATACAAATGATAGCAACACTGAAGCCAGCAAGTTCAAAACAAATACTTAAATAGGTGTTTGATATGATATGCACATGATGACTTATGAAGGTAACAGAGCAGATTACTCACATGCAATTTAAGTAATGAGATGTTACAGCAATATTTTATTGTGCATGAGTAGCAACATGCCTAGTTCCCATTCTAGCTTAATTTGCCAAAGAAACACAGGGTGTAAAGTGTATGTGTGTCCAAAGTAAACATAAGATAAATGACAAATCACAACTCTCTGTTTCTGTGAAACTTATTATAAAACGCTTTCCCTACATGAAATTAACCAGGCATGAAAGGGATATGATGTCCACATTGCACTTATTTACAGACAAATCAAAACAACTCATTCATTTTAAGAAGTTCTTCATAGAAAGCAGTTTTGTTTCTTGAAAGCCTACAAACCAAACAAATTATTTTGACATGATTTCATAGTTCAGAAAAAGGTTCCTGGTTTGTGCACATGTGTATTAATCCTAACACACCATGGTCAGCATTAGCAAATTTCCCAATTAAAATAAATTAAATAAATAAAACCCTTTAACAGATTGAGAAATCAGGAAAGGAAGTAGGAGGGGAGAAGTCTTTCTGAGGGATATTTTCAGTCTTAAACCATCACGTCAAAGGGAGGAATAGAAAGAGAGCAAGTCCTCGTCTTTTGTCAACATTTCCCACACAAAAAAAAATGCTCTGCAAAACGAATTTTAAACTAAGAGAGCTAGTTGGCATGACAACAATAAATAAGCTGCATTTTCTAAATACTGATTGTAAGAAATAAGCCTCAATTGGCGATCAATTAAAGATGCAATGTAAAGGGAGGCGAAGACATAAAGGCAGCACTGTTCATACAATGATGAATACAACCGTAGGGAGTAACCAGATTCACTGGAATTGGTTACTTGGGACATCAGCAATGGCCCAACAACAAAATTAGAAGTAATGGAAGCACCACTGCAGCTCAAAACATAGAATTACTAATTGTAATGCCCATTAATTGGGTCTGAAGAAGCATCTCTAGAATCTTTGGATTAGTACACCCATGTGTTTGGACACATACAGTGAGACATAAATTTAAAATTTAGAACATACAAATGGTGGAGCTTTCCTTACAAATTTAATATACTTATTGATTCAATTTTGTGAAAATGTTTAATGAAGACATACATAGCAGTATAGTCCCTATATATATTTATATATATATATATATAATATATATATATATATATATATATTCATAATTATTTTAAAAAGAAACAAGAAGGAAGAAAGAAACACAAAAAGCTCTTAAGTCCCAGGCTAAAAGCATGGGTATATTAACAGACATACCTTTACGCACCTACATACACACACAGTCATACAAACATTCACGATAGCACACACAAATTCACACATACCAGAATACACATTTATCACATACTCAGCAACACACAATCAGATATTCACTTGTCAGTCCTCTAACATACTTATAAAACAACAATTCTCACTATGGGCATCTACCCTACATACCCTAAAGTCAGTTCCCTCTCATTATCAGTACAATGACACTCTTGATCACAACAAATCCTCTTGAGGAAAACATGGTTTGCCCCTTCAAGGAGATATAAAAAAATAATAAATAATTTATTCGACTGAAAACAGTCATATGCAGCTATCTGGGTGCTGGCTTGAAACAGACTTTCGTGACTTGGAGGACTTCTGGTCGCATTTGTTGGCAGGATCAACACTAACTTTTCTTGGGTTTCCCAAAGTCACAAGAGCTGAAGCTATCGCTAACCCAGCTGAAAAAGAGCATAATCCAAAGTTAATTTGGAGAACAAATTTGGAGAAGATGTGATTTTCTATACTGAGGTCCAGTGCTTGCCTGATTGTCCTTGAGGAGTGAAGACCTCACTACCAGTTGGAAGTCTTATGAGCAAGGAAAGAACAGCAGCTCTATTACCACAGCAAGGCTCCAAAGCTATAGGACTAGGAGAATCCTACAAGAAAGAAAAAGGAACTCAATTAGTGACAAACGTCGGGATATAGTTATTTTTAGTTCTATAGACAGTTGTCAACACATACTTGACGAGACATCTTTTTCCTTTTCCTCAGCGACGCAATTGATGATTGTTGAGTATCAGTGTCGACAGCGTTGGTTTCCACAACCTTTTCTCGCCTCTCTATCTCTACGAGAACTTGTGAAAAAGGACGACTTGCCATTTGTTCCATTTCAACAAATAATCTCTGAAATTTATAAAAGATTGAAGGGCATGCTAGTGTTTGTCACAGATGAAAGTAATACAGAAGCAAATAGTAATTGAAGGCATTACCTGGCGTCTTCTATACATGTCATACTTTTGTTTGATTTTCCATAAAATTGCTGCCACAAGTAGTAGTAAAAGGAAACACCTGAAAAGGAGAAACAAGTGTGTAAGGCATTTGAATTTGACAAACAGACAAGAAAAGAAAAGATTGGTGATCACCGAAACTTACGATGAAAAGGTGATGAAGAACTGCTGCAGATTGAGCTTGGGGTATTGTGAAAATGAAATCTGAATCCACAAAGGAGTGTGGAAGTCATAAACATAAACATAAAAGGTAGTGAGGGTGACATTTTCTTCCATTCCAAAATTATGTTCTGCCTTTGTGAATCGAGTGCGGAAAGTAGTACAGTTGTGATCGACTAAAATTTGCCGCTCTCCCTCCTTGGCTGTATTGAGATAAGATATTCACAATGTATCATTCAGAGTTTTATGCATGGAAAGTAATGTACAATGTGACAATGATACTTTCTTACCTGTTTTGATTGTGATGTTCATTTTTGCCATGACAGAGCATGTGATGGTAAAGTCAGCATCAATATCTGGTTTAGGAGGGCTATTCTTAAAATTTATTTGAGTGTAGTGCCGATCTTCTTTCTTTGAGAGGTTGAAAGTGAACTGATAATCAATGGTCAGGTCGTAAAAGCAGGACCCATGATTTGTAGGATCTCCATGGTAATGATTTGCAGTGTCACATCTTTCACAATGATCCCCACTGATGCCCTTTGTTGTACAAAAGCACTTCCCATTTTCTTGGTTGCATAGCGTGCCTTGGTCATTGCACTCACAAGCTGAATCAAGTAAAAGTTGGTAATTATAATCACAACTACTACATACCTGGCCTGATAATATAAAACTACCTCAGGAAAAACAAAACAACTTACGACTACATGTGCCACCATTAATGGCAATTCCATAATAGCCTGGTACACAACGTTCACACTTTTCTCCTTGAGTCATGTTTCCACATGGCTGATTACACATTGATGAGTTGGATGGACATGTGCTGTGGCCATTGCATTGACACACTATAGAGAAAAGAAAGAAGCAATAATTGAAAAGACAGTTGTAAGGCCCTACAAAGGGTACTGGTAATTATTTCTGTAATGTTTTTAACACAAAACTGTGAATATCTTACATGGGCAATCAGTGAAATACCAATTGCGAGCAGGACATGTGTAATCATGATCTGGTCCCATATTGCCTCCAGGAAGGCATGTTCCTAGCCCAGTACCTGAACCATGATCACACCAGCCACATGCAGGGTCATCACGACACTCGGCGCAAGTCAGGTAGAAGCTACAGGATGACTTGCCTACAAAAGGAAGCAAAGATAAGATATGTTAGTTTCTGCTAATAAAAAGAAATTGCAGCAGTCCTTTAAGTTTCAGCATTAGAAAGGAAGATTTCATACCAGAGACAGTTGAACGGCACCTTGCCTGCTGAGTTGTCCATTCTCGACATTGGCCATAAGGAAAGGAAGTTGTATATGCGTTCTTATCAATGCATCGACCTTCATTCTGACACCATATGCACTCATCTCGAGTGCAATTGTAACAGGATTTCAAGTCAGAGCATTTGCACAGTTCTTGTTGTGACTAAAAGGACACAAATGCAGGTTTATTATGGTTTACACATTGACATTTGCAATAAGAAATGCTAAGGAACGCGTAAGAAATGAAATACTAACCTGCTGGGAATCAACAGAGCTATTACAGTGCACTTCATAATCCCATCGATGGCATGAGTTGGGGGGAGGAGGACAAACTGAGGCATCTTCAGGCTCACACTGATCAAGGGATCGAATTGGCTGGAATACACAAATATTAATACACACACTGCTTACTATTTTTACAAATTAGTCTACACTTAATGACAAACTCACCTCCAACACATTAGTACTATACTCTATGTTGTTACTGTTCACTGGATGAGAATTTTTGCATCTTTCTCCGCGATAGCTGCATTTACTTTGACCCTGACACCACTGGCAAGAGTAAGATGTCTGTACACAAGATGAACAGTCAGAGTAACTCTTGCACAGCTCTTCATGCATGACAACAGCAGCAGCTTTGACAGCTCGTCCTTCTTCAGGGCATATGCTGCAGAGCCCAAAAACATACATAAAATTACTTGAACAGTTTGAAATTTTAACCCTGTGAGTTCTGTGAACAGTACCAACCTGAAACCATTATCATAAGCCTCCTCATCTCTACCATCAGAGTGCAACACTAGCGGCCTATTATTGAAGGCAGTGGAGGCATTAATACAGTGTTCATCTCTTTGATTCCACACACATTTCACTCCTGTTCGAAAGCCAACACAGGTCTCCCTTGCAATCTGACTACTGCAGATACCAGGCGTATACCTTAGAGATTAAAAATCAGAGGGAAGGGATAAGTTTGCTATTAAGACCAAACAATAAGCATACTCTTAGTTTTTGAAAAGAAAAATACCTTAGTATATCAGACAGCATCTGACCATCAAAACCTCCATATATATGGAGAGAGCCATCAAACATGACTGCTGAATGACCAAACCGAGCAAGATCGGCTCGGGATAGACCTCGAGGTGGTAGAGGTAGTGGGGACCAAGAATCACACAGCACATCATAAGCCAGGAGGTCAGAAGAGTAGCACTTGGCACCATGGCTGTGGGCAGTGTCATTGTGCGTATTTCCACCAAAAACAATCATCAGGCCTCCAGAGATGAACGATGCAGTGTGCAGAAAACGTCCAGATGGAGCAGACATGAGCAGTCGCCAAGTTCTACTGTTTGGTTCATATGAGTAAAGTCTGTTACTCAGTATGAGTGAATTCTCATAGATAAATCCACCGTAAACATAAATAAGTTGAGTGAGGGGATCTAAGGCACTCGAGTGTCCGTAGCCACCTCTTACAGGATAACCACGCGTTTTCACAACATTCCATTCTCTCGTGCCTGATGATCACATGAACAAAACAGATTAGATTATTTAAACTCTAAGGAAACAGGCAAAAACATCCCAACAAGAAAAAGGAACTTACCAAAAATAAACTCCTGAACAGTATGCAGGTGACCATATCTAGGAGAATGCCCAAAAATGATGACCATTCGATCAGGTCTTTGAGATTTATTCACGAGAGTGGCAGTGTGACCAGCAGACTGCAAGGGACCTATAATTGAGAAAAGGTGCATTTTAGAAACTGAGAACAAAAGAGCTGGATAATTTAAGAAAGGATTCCACTCACCACAGGGTAGACTACTGTTACCCGTTGTGTTGCAAGACTCTGAACGCACTGTTATATTTTCCCAAGTTTTGGCATTAACATCAAAAGCCCAAAGATCAGATGAAACTTCACCTGATATTTCAACACCTCCATACATAAATATTTTGTCCTAGGAAAGCAACAGCCAGAAATATGATTAGAAATAAAGCAAAATAAATGAATACTTATGTCAAACATAAAATATGACTATTACACAATACTTACCCCAAACATCACACAGGAATGGCCATAGCGCGGCCGAGGAGCGTTTTTGTATTCCATCTGAGGGGTCTCCCAAACTTCACCTACAAAGAGAGTAAGATTGATGCACACAATAAGATAAGGTCACAGGATGTAAGGTCAAGAAACTGATGATGAATAATTTAATGTACCATTGAAGTCGTAGGTGTACAACATTTTGGCCCTATGGTATGACTCTCCCCCAACAATGTACAGAGAATCTTTCCAGACCACTGCACAATGTGAGGCAGATCCCTCAGGTTGAAAATCTTTAGGATGCAAAACTTCCCAAAAGCCAAGCTCTGCCATTTGGCTGCAGTCATCCCCTGTGCAGAAAAACAGTAATATGTTTAGCTGAGCTTCAATTGGTATATTCATGGGAAATCAAAAATTAAAACACAAACCTCTGTATCTCCCATAACATTCACATTGATGCTTTTCCAGGTTACAATAACCATGGTCAAAGCCGGTACAATTGTTGGGGCATTTTGGCACATCGCAAGCGGGGCCAGTGTACAGGGCATCACAAGTACAAACACCATCAATACAAACACCATTCCCTGAACAATTTAAGTGAGAATACCGACTGGGGCAAGAATTAAATCTGAAAGAAACATTTTTTGTTTTAAATCTTAACTCATGCTAGTCATGCTGCAAAACAAAGAGGAAAAATAAAAAAGGAAGATAATTTACCTGTAGGTGATGTTAAACCCAGTCATGTTATATGCTACATCACTATAAAAGTGAATAAGTGCAGAGCCAGAGTGCGCAACAATTTCTGGTATGCGCCTCACACTATAATTACCTTTGTACATGAGTCCACTGTAAAGTCATGGACATAAATTAAAATAGACTTTAGTTGTGATGTAAAACAACTAATTAAAGAAAAGTTATTCAACTAAAAACATACCTAAATACACCTAAAAGAGGTGAATGAACACTATCACCATCAAATATGTAGAGGTGATCCCAACCACATTCTGTGGCGAATTCCTCGAGATGAAGATGGATGGATGTGTTTGGGGACCCACTGTCTACTAGCCAGCTGCACTTGACATCGATGGAGTAGTTCCCATAACCATCGTGTATAGTACCTCTGGGCTCCGACAACCTGGATATCAATCAAAACAAATAGAAATCAAGAGTCAAATAATAGTTAAAAATTTACAATCTTGAATAAATTTGGTTTGGACAAGATGAACAAAGCAACACAACAAAGGTTGTTGTCATTAACACTCTTTTGACATACATCTATGTTTGATTTCTAAACTTGAATAAGAAACTAAAATTCAAGACAGCAAAAAGCCATCTCATGAATCAACAAGCAGATCAGATGTAAGAAAAACAATAGAAATAAAATGTGTACTGGTGGGGAGGAGTACATTTTCTTGTTAGAAAGTTCTCAAAGTATAACATAAAGTGGAATAGAAATTTAGGCAATCTGATATGAAAGAGAGGTTGAATACCTAATTATTACCTACAAGGTGAAAACGGAAACCAGAAACACAAAGTACCTGATGGGTTAACATTTTGTTTGGAGGGGAAAAAGTAGGTCTCTTAGATTAACCTCACAAACTACTTCTGGGAAAACTTTCTATTAACTTTGAAGCACGATAAATCAAAAGTTCTTCCATAAATCGAATGTGTCAACAATTTTGAAGAACATGACTTGAAAGGACGGTGGAGAGCGGCAGCACACGAACTCTATCAATCAAAACTGTCAACGATCACCAGCTTCCAACCCAAAATATAACCTAAACATGCTTCGCTGCACCGCGAATTTGACGGTCTTTGGGCGCACCGGCTGCCCCGCAGAGGATGGCGAAATAAGGCCTCCTGACCAGGGGTGTTATAAATAAATGTCTCCAGCCAACAAGGCAATTACCTGACTTTCCCACCGCAAAACTGACAGGCAGAACCTTGCCATCCTTCGTTGCAGACACAGGTCCCATTCACACATTCGCCATTAATACATTGCACATCACTGCAGTTCGGCTTGCATTGCACACAAAAGGAGTAGAAAAGAACTAAACATAGACACACAATAGTTTGTCCGAGATCCCATTTCCGTCTATATTTTGATTTAAATATAAATAAAAACATCTGCAGGTACGCTGCCATCTTGAGTCAAGCATTTCCGCGACTGCTCTTGGGCAAGGGCTGTGACGTCAGCTGGGTGCGCTCCGCCCTCAGTAAGTGTCAGACGAGAACAGCGTTGAACAACGAGTTTCTATTTTCCGGCTTTTGTAGTTTCTTTTCCTTTTTACGGCAGTCGCACACGACTGGAACGTGTAGAAAGTCAGATTTGCTGCCGTGGCACCAAGCAAGACTCTTTGCGACGCAATATTTAAGAAAATGCAGAGAATGGGATAAAGCTTCGGAACGCCACCGCGCGCAGTCACTTGTTCGAGTCGTCTGCTGTTTATTCAAATCGGTGCGGGGGACTGTCGCCGGCTGGGCGATTTGCCGGCCAGTGAAAATGGGGCAATCTTCTTCCCGGCGGGTGACGTCAAGTGCCTCGTCGCATCGTGTTCGCGTCGGGGGCACCACCGGCTCGCTATCAACGTTCACTTAAATAGTCGAGTTGGTGATTTTAACATGAGGGTCAGGCTCCATGACACTGTGTCACTCTCTGCACACCGAGCCACCAAGAAGACGAGGCAGCCCAGAAGCGATGGCCTGCAAAGTTATGGCTACCAGCTAGTTACCTTCCAGGAAGTGAGAAGATCTCGCTCTGGCAGAAAGTTTCACGGAATGTTTTCGTGCCTAATCACTCTGAGCCCAGGACTCGGACGGCCTTGAGCAGCGCGGAGCGCGCACATCCTCAGCACGACTCCAGACGCCACGCCGAGGACAAGGACGAGGACGTGCTCGGTGTCACGTCGCCGTCGCCCAGCAGGTCCGCGACGTGCTGGGCGTCACCGTTAGCGACAAAAGCCCCAGAGTCCGAGTCCCCGATGGGGCAGGGCAGCAGGGCCCGGCCCGGGGTCCGGGGAGCGTGCGGACTACGGACGGAGCGGGGCCCCGTCGGGGCCGTCGGGGCCGTCGGGGCTGCCGGGGGTCGGCAGGGACTGGCCGCGAGGCGAGGCAGACGGCCGGCATGGGCATGGGGCCGGCCAGGCGGCGGCCGCACTGGCGCTGGCGCTGGCGCTGGAGTCAGTTGATCGCCGGCCGTCACGGGGAGCGGAGCTGTGCCGCCTGACTTTGCGCTGCCCGCGCCGCTGTGCCCAGCTTTTCGGATCGTGGTTGACAGGCTGAGACCGAGTCTTGTTTTGTCGTCTGCAGCCTGTTGTTGTTGTTGTTATCGCTGCGATCCGGGGCCTCCGCGTCCGCGCCGCCGCCTTGAAGCTGTCAGCTGCGCGAGACGATGCGCAAGACCTGATGCCTTGCCGCAGCGCCAGCCGCGACAGCACCGCTGTGTTGATTTGAGGATTCGCACCCCGCGTCGCAGCGCGCACCGCGCACCGCCACCCAGCTCCCAAGGCCACCACGACCATGAAGGCCGTGCCCATGAACCTCGTCCTCCTCGTCCTGGCCCTGGTAAGTGCGCCGAGGACGACACGTCCTCGGCTGCTGCAGCAGCAGCCCAACGATGATGCCGGCCGGCCGGCCGACTAGAGTGTGAGCGCGGCCAAGCTGCCGGTTGGCATGCCATCATGGGGATGCCTCCGACAGCGCCAGCGCGCCAGCTAGCGTGAGCCTAATCCTGCCGTGGTGGGCGCATCGCCGCGTCAAGTCGACATGCTGGACATACTGGACATTGTTTGGCTCGAGGGCTGCGGGGTCCGCTGCGGTGGCGGCAGCAGCGCGGCATGCGGCACCACAGGTAGTCCTGGAGCCCCTCGGCGCCCCCCTCTCGCTTCCTCTCGGCAGCACCCCGTCGAGCCGAGCCCAGCTGAGCCCTGCCGGGTCAGGCAGAGAGCCGAGCCGAGCCCTTGGCAGTGTCAGGCCTGTCACACCACGCCTAACCGGGCCGCAGGGCAGGGCAGGCCGCCGCGACGCGAAGTCCGAAGCCTGCTGGCCCCGGGGAGGGGAGGGGCCTGAGCGATTCCTGGTTCTCGGGGGAGGGTCCCTAAAGGACGTGATGCTGGACACTCGACAGCTCCTCGTCCTGCCTGCCAGCTGCCTGCAGATGGGCGTTCTGCGCGGGGAGGGGACCGTCCCTGGCCAGGTCACTGTAGGTAGCCGGCGGCGGCGTCCCTCCTGGATCCGCCTCTTCGCGGGAATGCGTGCGTTCTGCGTTCCGAGATGTCGTTTTCGTTTGTTGTTCTCGGACGTTGCCGTCGCACTAAGGGCTCGCGTCGTCGCGCACCTTGCTTCTAATGGCAGTGGCGTGGCGTGGCGCTCAAGGTTGCCGGAGCGCCACGCCACGCCGTGCCACGCCGCGCAGCACCGCGGAACTCCGCGGAGAGACCTAGCGCGTAGGGCCAGTAGATTGATTCCCGGAGTCGTTTTCGTCTATCTCGCTTTTATGGGTGATAGAGACACAGACGACTCTCGGAATCCATCTATGCAGGGCCGCGTCCTGCAACGAGGACTCGATTCCGTGTAAGCCGCCACGCCACCGCCACACCAGTAATGATCGATTGTTCGAAATGGCTTTGACGTCAGTGTGTGTGTATGTGTGTGTGGGCGCGTCGGCCAACACGCAGTGCACCGCGCTGTATGTAGTGTACTCTAGTGTACACACAGGCCACACTCGCACTGATTGGTCTGCCGGCCCACTTTTTCTCACGGACGGACTCGGCGGCTTCCAGGGAAGTACCAACCGCCTTCCCGTCGCAGCGAGTACGTATCAGGAGTACAGTCCCTGCCGAAATGGAGTCAGTCCGCGCTCAACCAGGCGGGCCTGGTGCGGCCAGTGGCTGTCCGGCTGTGTGCGTTGCTGGCCTCAAGAAGTACAGTCCACTCGAGTATGTCACGGCTAGGTGCGCCGGTCGCGGCCCGCGGCCTGCCTGGCAGTGCCCGTCCATTGAAACGGGTACTTGTACCTCACCCGTCTGGCGTGCTGGACTCCCTACTCGCGACTGTCTGTCTTTCCGGCTTGTCAGGCAGTGTTTTTTTTCGTGGCCGCTACGGTACATCTGCGCGTGTGTGGGTGTGGCGCGTGTGTAGGTGTGGCGCCCGTGCGTGTGTTGGGCGCGCGCGTCTCCCCGGGTCGACACGCGCTTTTTCTAGACTCGTTTTCTGAATCACGTAACGAAGCCAGCCAGTGCTTTCGTGAGATGGGGTGCGGGGGCCTCTGGGAGGCGAGGCGACCAGGCCGGTGAAAGCCGACGCGGCGACGCGCCGGGGCGTCCGTGTCACATACTTCAGGGTTCAGGGCCCCGCGTGGGCCCGCGTGCCGGCCGGCAGTCCTGGCCGCTGGCCGCGGGACGCTCCAGGACGGCGTTCTAGTGCGGCCGGGGTGGGGCCGGGGGGGCCGGCACGTCGGCCTGTCTCGGCACGCGCTGTGGCACGCGCGGGGCGGGCGGCGGTCGTTGGACGGCACTGCAGACCGATTCCGAAGTGGCTGCCGTCGCTCTGTCTCTCTCGCACCGCTACGCAACGTCCCACAAGAGCGAGAGAGACAGAGCCTGGTTGTACCGCGGCGTGCCCTGCGTGCCGCACTGGGTGGGGCTTTGGCTGAGGGGCGCGGGGCGCCGTGAAAGGCTCATTGAAAATGTGGGGCCCTCAGTGACGGGCGCCAACCGTGCCAGCCACGACAGCCCAGGCAGGTCACAGCTCGTCGTGGGCGCCCCCGCAGCAGGCCGGTGCACGTCGCAGCGCTGCAGCATGCCCGTGCACGCCCGCCCACACGATCCTGGTCGTGGTCAATGACTTTGCAAGCCCCGGTGCGGCGTGGCGGGGACGGCGCGACGTTTTTGGTTTGGCCAGTCCGGCGCCGAGAGGGCGGAGCGCGCGGAACGCAACGCGGACAACGCGGCCGAGCTGACTTTTTGGAACGCATCCGTGAGGAAGGTTGACTGACCGTCCCCGCCTTCCACGAACGGTGCTGGGTGCGCAGCGCGCCGGTGCTGCCTGGAACCGTGGAGAGCGTCCTCGCGCGGCCGGAGGGAGGACGGCGGCGCCAGGGCGGGCCTGCAGCCTCAACAAGTTTAAAACGGCGAGCACATCGGGCCCCACATCGACTGCATCGACCAGGCAGAAGGCTTGAATGGCCGCGAGGCCGCGAGCGAAGCAATCATCCCGGTGACGACGCCCACCGGCACATCGTGTACATCGTGTACATCGACCGCGGGTCGAAGGTCAAGGGCGTCCTGGCCGCCGCCAAGGCCTTCCTGGGCGCGCCGCTACCCACCGCCACCCGCCGCCCGTCAAACTCATTTACGGCGTCGTCGTGGCCGCGGGGCAGCCTGGCCTCGGCCTGGCCTCGGCCTGGCCGGGGGCAGCGCGTTGGCGCCTGGCTGGCCGCCCGGCCGGCCGCGGCCCCGAGGCCCTCCAGCTCGACCGCGGCTTATCTGAGGCCTGTTCAATTAGCCGTGGCGCCAAACATTCTAATTGCCGCGACCATCAGCACGCCGTGCGGTGCCGCGCTGCCGCCGTGCCGCGGTGGCGACGGGCAGAAATACTTGTATCGCTGCGGAGCCGCGGCAAAAAGGCATCTAATCACGCACCGGCCTTTCTCATTTTGCTTGTGCTTCGCCGCTCCGCCTCGCTAGCCGCGCCAGCCTCGCCAGCCGGCCGGCGGCCGGCGACTGCCGATTGCTTCTTGTTGTTGCCGGGCCGGGCGCTGGGCTGGACGGCTGGACGGGGACGCGATGCGGCGACCGGGCCGGCAACGCAGGGGTGCGCGTTCGCGTGGTTCGTTGCTCGGTTCGCGTGGGGCTGGCAGTGTTTTTCTGCGTCCGCACGCAGGGTGGGTGGGTGTGCCCCGAGGCAGAAAAATCAACAGCCGGCGTGTGGTGGCGTGTTGTGCGCTGGCACTCATCAAAACACAGACTGCAGCGTCACCGCGCTGCAGTGCTGCCTAGCGTGGCGACGGCCCGGCACCAGCACGGTGTGCAGGTCAGGGTTCGGCCTTCGGGCGCATCCTCGCGATACCTGTCTGCCACTAGCTCGCTGCAGTGGCTGCAGGCTGGTTTCGAAGCTGTCTCTCTCGCACTCATTCGGTTTCCCGAAGGGGTGCGAGAGAGACAGAGCGACGTTTCGCCGTTTCGGACTCAGCCCGCTGCTCGCTCCGGCCAGTGTAATCGGATTACTACAGCGTTGCTGCTGCAGTTTGGCTGCCGTCGGGGGTCCTAAGCCCCCATCGCCCCTCCCCCTATCCGCAGGCTTATTTTTGTTGTAGTTGGCCGTATCCGAAACTCTGATGAGGTTTCCTCCGAAGGCGACCGCCCGCCCGAGACGGTTCCTGGGACTGTAGGGAAGTTCAGCGAATTTGCTTGTCTGATCAGCTGGCGGCCGTGGCTACAATGTCGAGTCTTTTTATACTGCACCGTCATCGCGGGACCGCGCTTGCCGGGTGATTCCGAAACGTTCCTCTCGTCGCTCTGTCCCTCTCGCACTCGTGGAGCGTATTGGAGCGTCCCCGGCGACCCGGAGGGGTGCGAGAGAGACAGAGCGACTGGCAGTCCGCGAGGCGCGAGATAGACGCGGCGGACCGCGAGCCAATGAACCTGGCAGCGCGATTGCGGGTTGCGCGTGGGCGCCTGCAGAGTCGTCGCTCTGCCTCTCTCGCTCCCACGTACGTTTCCTGTGGGTGCGAGAGAGACAGTGTGTGTGTGTGTGTGGATGTGGAATGAACATACGTACTACACACTGGGCGCTGCGCTGGTGGCCTAGTCAGTCGCTCCAGGCTACTCACGTTGCAGTAGTGGCCACGGCCCGGCCCGGGTTCAAACACCCGTTTTGCTGCTTGGCGTGAAAGCCGTTTGCACTTTGCAGTGTTGTGATTGGGAGGCGGTGAGTGCGCGCGCGGCCTGGCGCAGCCCGCCTCGCATAGGAGTACAGGAGTACACCGCGCCCCATCATCATGCCGCGGAGCGGAGATTTTCCACCGGGAGAACCTGTCCCTGCACGGCCGCCAACGGCCGCCAACGGGCGCCCTGCACGCAGGCTTGGCTTTCAGGGACCCGGTTTCGCGGCCTCCACGTCGACGGCCAAGTCCGCATTCGCGAGGCCAGGCCGGCCAGGCACTCGGCAGGCTCGGTGTGCGGCCCGTGCGATCGCAGGCCCCGCAGGCCGGTGGACGTTGACGCCCATCCCATCGGGTTCCCCGCCACGCCGTCTACCACCACGCGTCACCGCAGCCCGTACAAAGCCCCAGGACGCCGTCACTGCTTTATTTCCGTCTCTCATTACTTTTCCGCCGCGGTGCCTCGCCGGCGAAGGAGCGAGTGACGGACCGCCGGCCGGCAGCGTGCCGCCGCGCGCCGCCCGGACGTGACGTAGAGCCCCGTCCTGGTGGCGGGTCCGGGGATTCCCCGGCCGGCGGCGGCCGCCGTCGTGCATTGCTGAAAAGGACCTGGTCGGCCAGACCGGCCGGACCGGCCGGCCCCCCTGCGAAGCCAGCGATGCTGGCCAGTTGCGCGTGGCGGTCTGGCGGGCGTGCCCACCTCGCAGGCGTCCCGGCCGGGCCGGCCTGCCAGCGAGGATGCATGGAAGTCCCGGCCATTTGCGTCGCTCCGGTCGGTGGGCCGGGCACAGTTATTAGCCGGTTGTTCAGTGTAGGGACCCCATAAACGATTAGAGGCGCCAGGACGGCGGCGTGAGCGTGCCCTGGCCCCGGACCCCGCTGTGGGCTGTGGCAGCAATCAGTGGTATCGCCTGACGGCCTGGAGCCTGGATGGACCGCCTGCTTGCGCCGCCTGCCTGCGCCGCCTGGATGACGTCACGGCCCTCCCGGAGAGGACGCGTCTGACGTCAGCGGGCAGCGGGCGGCCCTGCAGACACTCCGGCCGGCCTCGGCCGGCACTCTGTGTGCTGCAATCAATGCGTTACGGCGTTGACAGTTTGAACGTCAGTGAGACCAGTTCGTGCGTGCGTGCGTCACCTTATGTCTAATGGCTTCCTCTTGTTGCAGGCCGTGCAGGTGCCCTTGCCCACCCTGGCTCGCCCGGGCACCCGACACGCCCGCCAGGACCTCCGCATGCTGCCGGCCAACTCGACGGGCACCCCCCAGGACCAGGCTCTGGCCAGCGGCATTGTCCCGCAGGAGGCCGCGCAGACCCCCATCTCGGCCAGCCCGGAGTCCTCGACGGCCGCGGGGTCTTCCTCGTCGTCGTCCTCGTCCCCCGCGCCACCATGATGCCCACCACGGCCGCCTCGCGACGGGTGCCCCCAGCGATGGCCGTGCCGCCCGCGCTCGCCCAGGAGCGCACTAAGCACGGTGAGTGGGGCTCCAGCGTTTGAACCCGAGACTCGGTGGTGAACGTGCTTCTTATCGGCGGATGGTCGGATGGTTGCTTGCAGGGCCGCTTCCCGACTCCCTGGGCGACAACATCGTGTTCCCCACGGCGCAGGTGAAGCCCGACGTGCAAATCAAGCCCGACGCGTCCGGACAGCCCAAGTACGCGCCCATCCCCGGCCGCGTGTCGCCATCCTGCGCCAAGGGGTCCACCTTCTGCACGGACGTCGACAACTACCCCGAGTGAGCCTCTCTCTACTTTTCATGTCATTTTTGGGGCAAAGAATGTTCTTTTATTGAACTTCTAATTCTTTGTTCACAGGATCTACCTGCAAAACATGCTCCGGTCGGCAAATTTAGGATACCGAGAGTATTTCGGGAATGATGTTATTGCAGAAGGTAATATTACTCAACGAATAGATGCCAATGATGAGAATCCACTCTGCCCGTACGAGGTAAGAATTAATCATTTTAAGTTCTGTAGGATGGAATGAATTCATTATTATTTCGATCACACACATGTTGTTTTTTTGTCTGCAGGAGACAGTCGTGTATCCCAAAGTAGCCAAAAATAAGGAGGATAAGTGGTTGTACGTTGTTAATCAGGACCACTTTGTTCAAGGTGTTCGCATAGAGACTTGCCTGTAAATATCCATTGTTTTTTGTGGTTTTGTTGTTAATTTAAGAGCTCTTTTTTCTGTTTTTTCCTGTGTCTTGTAACCATGCTAATAATAGTTTTTTCTTTTTTCTTTTACCATATTTTTAGGAACACAGGAACAGCCTGTCAACTGGCAGAAAACTTTCCCTATGGCTACACAACAAGTTGCAGGCAAAAATACATTTTAAGAAAATTAGTAGCCCTGAACCCAGAAGGACAGACTCAGACAGACATGTTCCGCCTTCCATCATGCTGTTCATGCTATGTTACAAGGGCTAATGTGAGTAGTAGAAGGTCTAACATGACACCAGCCATCAAAAAGACAGGCGCCCGAAAACGTTGAAACTGCTTGACGTAATTTTAAAAGACCTCTACTACTTAAAAAGATGGATGGAACCCATGCTTTAGTGTTTAGCTTGTGTGTATGTGATGAGAGAATGATAGTATATGTGTTGTTGAACTCTTACTATGTGTACAAATGGAAACCTTTAATTGTTCTTAAGCTTAGCCAGTATGATGCTGTGATAATCCTTTATTTTTCTGTGAGTTGGCTAAGTTTGGTGTTCTGTATTTTAATTGCAATCAGTGCTAAAGTCTGATCCTACCTGAGAGGTGCCTTTTCTGTAACCATGGAGAAAACTGCATGGCAACTAAATGAAGAAGTGTATAATGTAGATCATTTGAGTCCTCCACACAGAATCGCTCGTAACAAACGAATGTCCCATCCCAGCCAAGGAAAGTGTGATTCATATGATGCTTTATCAATATGTGATGTTTGCATAGTATATTTAACTTCAAATTATTGATATTTATATTTTGAAACACCTCAAGTGTACTCAGAGTGATGTGCTTGAATGATATTACTGGGGTGTTTTTCTTCTAGAGATTCATCTGGAAGTTATTCATCCAGGGCAGTTAGTGCTTGTTATGTTGTTCTTGTTGCGTGCTTTACGATTCAGTTAATTAACATTTAATTAAAATTTTCTTTATTTTTATTAAAATGAATATAAGTTAAACGTGAAATGTTTTGTCATAAAATTACTAAGCAGTGTAGATAAAATGTAGATTTTATTTCTGTAACGCTGAAAAGTTTTGCTTTTCTTTTGTTAGGTGGTACCCAAGTTAAATGAGCAAATGTTATTAATTTTACGTTTCCTTTGAGAAATGGCTTATTAGTAGGCATCTCTAATCAATGCTTTCTTCACTCTATCGTTCTGCACATAGATTGTATCACTAATTCTTTTTATATCAATGGTTGTTTGCATGTCATATTTACTCCCATTTGTGGAAAGGGTTAGGGGACTGCCATCCTATTTGGGTTCAGGTGTTCCCACACCCTTTGGCTTGTCAGCCCTGAACTGTCGACAATTTTCCCCTATTTAACCGAAAAGATTAGTTTTTTCTTATTGCCAAAGTATCTCTGTACTACTGACTTGAACTATGCTTGCAACAGTTATTTTGTGAGAAGCCCTATTCTCTGGTTAATTGTTGAAACTGATCTCCACAATCCATAAATTTTATGAGGTATTCTGGCTGGGAATTTGCTTTAGTCTTTCCCAAGAGTTGGGACTTTTGGAAATCACATTTGTACGATATGCCTTGCTTTTCTTTTTGGGAGTAGGAATCTTCAGCCAAACTTCAGAAGCAAAAGTAGAGGAAAACAAGAGTGATATTTCCAAACTGAAACCACACAACTTGCATGCCTCTTTCTCAACCTAAGTAAATTGTTAAATTTTGCTTTGCTGACTACTGCAGTGGTCAATTTTTTAACAGAAAAGGAAGTTGAATTTGTGTAGTTCACATGGACAAACTATCAGAGATGAGATAAGCAAGTTTTGTGGTTTGACTAAAATTATTACACAGAGTGTATTTCATAGCTTCTAGTCCTTCTTGTTATGTACATACTTGTGTGTAAAGTACTTTTCATGTCATAAGACACTCTGTTTCTATAAATGTCACAAAAAAATAGTCGAGTGTGTTTTTGCTGTTTTTCTTCCCCAACCCTCTTAAATGATCACACCACACCTGACACTAAATATGTATTTTCAGTTTTTAAAACAGGAAAAAAAATAATTATAAACTATACCTGTAGTTCCCTTCTTATGTCTATTTCATAATGCAAAGAAATCTTCAGACAGATCTCTTGATAACATGAGGTAAATCAAACTTTCCACGCACGCATTTGACCTTTACACCAGGACAGTCCTGAAGTCGTCCTTGCCTCACTAGAACCACATTATGTTCCTGAAAGACAATATGGACCGTTAAAAAAAAAGCTTCAACGCCCAAATAAGTTCTATGCCACTTACACATACCTGTAAATTGTGACCCTCTCCGGGGACATACGCAGTGCACTCTCTGCCATTTGAAAGTTTGACTACAACACACTTTCTATTGGCTGAATTTGGTTTCTTAGGTTTCCTTATCACGGGTCTGATGACAATTGCTTTAGCAAAGGGCTGGCCCTGCAATGGGTTTCTGCAAGGGCGAACCTTGATTACAGGGCCATTGCGGTGCATTTGAGCGAGTGAGGCCATGCACCTGCCCAGCAAACCTGCGAGAGTAATAAAATGCAGTGGTTAGTGAATAAACGCCTTTTTGGACATAAATGATTCAAAAGTAAAGTAAAATCCCTACCAGTGCCACATTGTGTGTTTATGACAGCTGACTGAGGTAACAAGCTCTGAGTGTTTGGCAGCATACCTGTAAAATGAAGTCACAGTGGACATAAGAAAGGGAAGATCAAAGTCACATTTTAGCCAATGTAAAACTCACTACTGACCTTGGTTAAAACATCTCGAAATGATTCCACCGACTCCTCGAAAAGTTTTGGCCAGCTGATATCCAAGTAACGCCATAATTAGAAAAACCTAAGGACCGTTCCACACCTAGACAAGTCAAAACAAAGTAAAAATTAGAATTGAAGAGGACAACAGAAGCCATCGAAGGACACTAATAGAAGAATAAATGAAGGAAAATTAAACGTTAACAAAAAAAATTGGCAATAAATTAAGGGAAGTAAACAATGCTCTCAATGAGGTTAGGTTTACCAAGACCCAGCACACTATTTCAAGAAGAATTGAAGCCACAGCCTCTTAAAAAAATTCTATCTTATAATCTAGTTCACTGAGGTGCCATACCTCAACTTGTCAAAGCAGGAAACAAATCATTAGAGCCAGAGGAACCACTAAAGGATATTTTCGAGGCCGAGTCTTCTGCTCCCTCTGGCCAGCCTCCGCCGTCTTGGCAACACTGCATGGCGGTAGTGGCAGCATTGCGCTCGCTCTTCGGCGCGCTGTTTTAAATCGGAGTCGTTCATGGGCTCTAGGGCCAGGAGCGGACCAACGAAAGAGGTCGAAGCGACAGACATATAACGACTCTGAGGGTGCGAGAGAGACATGTGTAGACTCCTAGAATCCAAGGCGAAGAAATGGGCCCCGACACCGTCTAATTCTCAATTCCTAACGGGGAAGAGACAGGTTTAAGAAAAAGTTCCACAGAGAAAAGCAAAACATGTAATTAGGCACAGCCTTGCCTTCCTTCGCCGCGGACTTCCCCGAAAGTAACGCAGCGAGGTGCGTGCTCGGGTGCGTGCGAGGCCCTGTTCCCGGTTGGCCACATCAATCAAAATAATGAGCACACACCGTTGTCTGCACTGCAGGCTGAATCCGAACGGTGCTTTCGTCGCTCTGTCTCTCTCGCACTCGTGCGGCGTCTCGTAGGGGTGCGAGAGAGACAGAGCGACAAGTCTCTGCTCGGCATCGGCCCGCTGGCAGCCTGAAGGCCTGAGGGAAGTCCGCGCGTCACGCCCCGCCCCGCGCTGCGCTCACAGCGCCCTGGCCCGGCGCCACCCCGCTACAGTTTGCAGGGCGGGCCATATAGTGCGGTGCATTGGCGTCGAGTGTGACAAACGATGTGAGACAAGCGTTGCTGCCAAGGGCGGCGGGGCGGCAGCGGCCACCTTGAATCCAGTCGCCCTCCGAGAACCTTCCAAGACGCGGACACACCTCGGCACCGGCGGCATGTCTGTCCACCCGGAAACGCGCAGGGCGAGTTTGACGTAAGCGAATTCACGTACAGTGCTGCATTGCCATCACGCCGAGGGTGTTGACGTTGAGGCCCAGCAGCAGGGCGTCCCGTCGCCGCTGGGCGAGCAGGCGCCCCATGAGGGCGTCGCTGGCGAGGATGCTGTCGGACGCGCGGCGGCAGCTGCGACGCGGGTCGCTGTGTGGCTGCGGGGGCGGCGAGGCCACCGTCGGCAACCCCACCGTCTGGGACTCCGCGACGAACCCCACGCCCCCAAAGGCCGGGCTGTTGCGCAGCTCTATCGGTGGCACGTCGCCGACGCCGCTTCCACCCTTCGCTGGGCTCGACGGGCACCTCGGTGGCCTTGACGGGCGCCTCGAAGGGCACCTCGACGGCTCACGGCGGAAGGTCGGTGGGGCGTGCCAGGGCCCCCACCTGCGGAGCCCCGTCGCCGTCAACGGGGACGACCCCGCAGCGCACCGCGCCGCCACGGCCGTACGAAGGGACTCCTTCAGCGAGGCACTCAAACCGCTCGTGCTCACCTCACAGGTGCGTCCCGAGACAGGGTGGCTTATTTCAGAACCCTGCTACCCCTAACGCGCGCTCGGTGCCGCTGTAGGTGTTCCTGGTGCTGCCGGTGCGCGCGCGTCGCTGGACCCGCCTCGCCCGGACCGTCGTGCTGGTGGTGCTGATATCGTCGGTGACGGCCCTGGCCGCGCTGCGCATGTTCAAGCAGGGCGTCAGCCTCACGTCGTCGTGTAAGTGTCCTTCCCCGGCTCCACCCCGTCTAAACGCCTCGCTCTTGACCACGCTTGCTCCCCTTGCAGCCCCGGCCGTGTTCTACGGCACCGCCGCCTTGGCCGCGTACCTGCTGTCGGACCTGTCATCGCAGTGGCCCGACATGTCGGCGCGGTGGCGCGCCTCCGGGTCGCCGCTCACGCTCACCGAGACGGCCGTCACGGTCGGCGGCGCGCCGCCCGCCGACACCAAGCTGTGCTGGGTCGTCACCGCCGTCATGCTGGTCTTGGCGTTGGGTGAGGAGCAGGGCCTTCATTCCCGCCACTCGGCCTTGGCTGGAATAACACCGGCGCGGCCTGCTTACAGTGGAGCACGTCCTCAGCGTCCTGGCCGACCTGGTGCCGCTGCTGGAGTGCGCGGAGCAGGGCGGCGCCTGGGCCGTGTACAAGTCGTTCTTCGTCAACAAATTCCCCATGGTAATGGCGCCGGCCAGTGAGTCATCGGGCGGCTTTTACGCCAATTTGCGCCACGCGCCGCCACGCCGAGGCACCGTTTGATGCTTCGACCGGTCCGGGGCCGTCCGGGCCGTCCGGGGCGTGTCTGCAGGTGTTCGAGGTCCTCCCCTTCTCGCCGGCCGCCTCCGTCCTGCTGCTGTACCTCAACCTGACGTGCACGTTCCTGTGGAACGTCATCGACATCGTGGTCGTCGTCATCAGCAGCCTGCTGGCCAGCCGCTTCAGGCGCTTCAACCGGTTCCTGGAGAAGGCCAGGGGGAAGGTGAGTCCGAAGTCCGCGCAGCCGCCGTGCTGGCAGGCAACCCCTCCGCCTTCACAGTGCACCCCACCCTGTTGGGGCGGGCTTGGCCAGGCTGCTAGGTGCGCTACGCCGCTACGCGATAAAGTCCATCATCCTGGCCGGGCCAACCTCGGCGATAACGAACCGCCAAATGGGGTGCGGGGAAAACCTGAGTGCCCGCGATAAAAAAAACAACTTCTGCAAACAAAAAACCTTTTGCTTGCACCAGGACTTGTCGAAGTTCTGGTGGCAGGAGGTGCGCGAGTCCTACAACCGCCTGGCCGTGGTCACCAAGCACTTCGACGCGCACATCAACGGCATCGTGCTGCTCTCTTTCGCCAGCAACCTCTTCTTCATCTGCCTGCAGCTGCTCCACAACATGACGTCAGTGGTGGCGGTTCTCACTTAATTTTAAATCTTTTAAATTTTGTGCGTGGTATTTTGATGACGGCGTCGTCCTGCTCGCAGCAAGCAGAAGAACAACGGCGTGCTCGCGCACCTCTACTTCTACCTGTCCTTCGCCTGGCTGCTGGTGCGCACCGCGGTCGTGTCCATGAGCGCCGCCAACGTGTACGAGCAGAGCATGGTCCCCATCGAGGTGCTGTACTGCGTGCCCTCCAAGAGCTTCTGCGTGGAGGTAGGCCACTCATCCGGCGAGGGCGGTCGTTGGGCTGCCTACCGTCCCCTCTGACTCTCGGTGCTCGTTTGTCGCCAAGGTGCAGCGCTTCCTGGTGCAGGTCACGACGGACACGGTGGCGCTGACGGGGTGCCGCTTTTTCTGGGTCACGCGGTCGCTTATCCTGACGGTAAGCCACGAAATTTTGCCGATGTATCCCGTTTTACGCGTGCTACAGCCGAAATGGTTTGTTTCGCAGCTCGTGGGCACGGTCGCGACGTACGAGATCGTCCTGGTGCAGTTCCACACCGACAAGGGCAAGACGGAGCTAGTGGCCTCGGCCTGCAGTCTGTGACGTCCTCAGGGCTTTACCCGGGACGAGACCACCTCGGCGGCGATTGCGGGAGAAGAAACGGAACGCCGCGAGGACGGCGATCGGCAAGCGTGGCAAGCGTCACCGGGCAAGTTGGGTTTTCTGCTGCCGGCATTCCCAGTCCATGCCGTCCAGCCGTCCACGGGGAGCGCCGGGAGGGTAGGCAGGAGATGCCGCGAGTGCCGGATGGGTGGCCTATCCGGTCCACTGCTAGGCGCGCTCCGCTCCGCGCCGTCCGCCGCCCGGCACTCCAGTGGCTCAAGCGAGGACGCCCCGCTTGAGGCCCACCTAGAAGCCCACCCCGCCCCCAGCTCGAGCTTGAAGCCCCCCAAGCGCTGTCGGACCTAAAACTCCAGCAGACAGACGGGGGTCTGCGGCAGCTGCAGCGCTTGCAGCGCCAACAGCGGAACTTTCCTCGTCGTTTTCCGTGCCGTCCCGGGTGGCTGAGGTCATAACACGAAGAGAGTCTCGCGGCCCGCGCACCGCGCACCCGGTTTGCCCCCCGCCGTGGGGCCCGGCCGGCCAGGCCGTCGCCGTACCCTCGGCTGTACCGTGCAGTCGGAGGGGAAAGAAATGACCCCGCCCAAACTTGTTTCAAGTGACGCGGGGTGGCGACGCCCTCGTGTCCGAGGCCGTGATAGAGAAGGAAGCGCGTGGCCGAGGCTGTGCACGCGCCGGTCGTGTCATGTCACGCCTAGACGCCGAGGCCCCGCATCTGCCTCGCGCCCACCTCGACCACCCCATTGATGTCACTCCGACGTCTCCGACGTCCCTATTCGTCCATCGCTCGTCCCCGGCTAGACCAATCAGCGTCACGGCCCGCTCCCCCGCCGTGACGCGCGCGATTGATCTCATGCAAGTCCTAGGAACGTAAATCAAGTAAACCCATGTTCAAAAACGCCGCGCGGTTCGAATTTCTCCGTTCAAGCGCGGAAAAGTTCTCTTTATTGTCACGCGGAGCTCTGTGTGTGTGTTTGTGTGTGAGTGCGTGCGTGCGTGTGGTTGGGTGCGCGTGCTGGCCACGTGTCTTTGCTGTTGTTCCAGCTGCCCAGGCTGCCCAGCAAGCCGGCGGCAGCACGGTCTTCGACTCCTTGCCGGCTGCGCCGCACGGTCACCACCGACACGGCCTGCTCCGCTTGCCACATGACACGGCTGCTGCTCCCGGGTTTGGGGTAATGCTCTGGGTAATGGTGGGCAACGCGCCGTGAATTTCAACGACAATTTGGATTCTTGGACTGATTGAGTGCGTGCTTCGAGGCAGGGCCATTGCGGCCACCCCACCTCGAGACGCGGTCCAGGACGCCGTCACCCTCGCAGAGCGATTTCGTCCGTCACCGTCTCTCTCGCACTCATGGGGCGCTCCGTGAAGATGCGAGAGAGACACAGCGACGAAACGCTGTGCGGAATCAGTCTGCGGGGGGATGGAATGGTGACGCGCTGCGGACCAGGAAGGGTTGCTTGAGGGAGGGTAGGGGTGGCGCGACCAGGCGCGACGCGGAAGCTGTTTGCGAGGCTGTGTGTGTGTGTGTGTGTGTGTCTTCACATGGCGCAGTGGCCCACTCGCACACGTGACGGTGGTTGCAGAAGGGGTGGAGAAGACGAGGGCGAGCTTGGGGGCGGCGCTGATGAAACTGTCAAGCCGGCGACAAAGGAGGCGAAGAGAGCAGCTCGGGGGCAGCAGGGCGGCAGGGCAGCAGGCTGCGCCCCGGCAATGACCGGGCAGGCCGAACGGTTCGGCCGCTCTGTCTCTCTCCCACCCTTACGGTGCGCCCCGTGAGTGCGACAGAGACAGACGGCACCGCCCGGAATCGGCCCGCCGCCCGCCCCAGTGCAGGCCGCACGCGCGTTGTTGACGCTTTCTCTCTTTCTCTTGTTCATTTGACCGAAAGGGATGCGACTGGCGGCCTGCCGGCCTGGCGGGGTCGAAATGGATGGGCCGGGCCGGCCGGAGACGAGGACGAGGCTCAGCAGGAACAGGAAGGATTTGTTGTCCTCCGTGTGGGGGTGCATGTGTGTGCGTGCGTGTGTGGTCAGCGGCTTTCAGACGTCTCACTCCCGCCCGCCGCGCTGCAATACAGCGGTGATCGCTTGCGGTGGTTGGCAGAGACTTCGGTAGTCAGCCAAGCAGCCGGGAGCGTTGTGATAAGAACGAGGCAATGGGCAACGCTCCAATCAATGAAGCGGAAAAAGGGCACCCTGTCTAGTATAACACCTCGGTTTCTCTTCAAATTTTCAATAAAAATATTTTTTAAACTTCTCCCACCCTGCCTCACTGAATGGCCCGCAAAACGCACTTTCCAACGGTATACGGCACCAAAAAGATGGCATACTGTACCTCAGTGCCTGTATGTGGAAGCGCTTATTTACCAATTTTGAACCGAGTATTCCGGACGGAACGCGGGGATTCAAGCTGCCGAACTCAGTCTCCAACGTGCGGCCCTCCACGAACGGAGGGGCATCGTGAGTCCGAGCCGGGACGGAGTGACAACACGGTTACTGAGCAGATCGGCCTACTGCAGGGATCAATGTTCAGCTTGTGCCATCACTAGTGACACACACTTCCAAGCGCAGGGGCCAGAAGTCGGGGTATATATCCTCCACGCGACCCCGGGCATGCGCCACCGCTTTAGCCACCGGTTGCAGAAGCTCCAGGTGAGGCAGTTGAGGTCGGATTTGCGTCGTTTTCGTCCCGGAGCCGAAACGAGTCGGGTCCTTCAGGTTGGCGCCCGGCTGGGTTTTGAAAAATGCGTGATTTTGGGTGAAAATCGCGTTAAAGAAGAGGCTCCTCGCGCTCGCTGGCGACCGCAGCGCGGCACTGCGGCAGCGAGGCGAAGCGCGGCCCACTGCGCAGCGGACGCGCGTCGCTTGGGCGAGGTGGGGGCAGAGACTCGCCACGGCTCGGCTGGGGGAGGGGGCCGCGGGAAAATTCGAGCTCGGGAGTGCGGCTTCGGTTCGGACTCGGCTGGCTCGGCTCGGCGGCTGGCTACGGCTGGCTCCCCGCGCCGCGCGCCGCGTGGCCGCCTGCACTGTCGAAAAAAACATTCGCGCGCAAATACAGACAGACCAGACGTGCGGCGCCAGCCGATTTGACTCGAGTAGCAAACACTCGGATCCTTCTCACCTCGCTGCTCTTCGCTGCCAAGTGCAGGCACGCATGTACATGTGTGTGTTTACGCGCGTGAGTGTGTGAGTGTGTGTGTCGTGCGTCGTGCGTCGGGACGCTTCGAGTGTGGCGGCGCCCGCCTGCTCGCCTTGCCACGCATTCGCACATTGTCAACCCCAAACCGATTCCGCACGTTCTGCAAATAATGAACCCGAGGCGCGCAGCCGCGCACCTGGGGCTGCGTGGCTGTGTCCTGGGGCTCGTACTTCATCTCCAGGTCCTTGGGGAGCGCTCGCAGACACGCATACGGCGCGGACGCCTCCAACGAGGCTCTCGCCGAGGTGTCATGCGAGAGGACCGGACCGAATTTGGAACGCAGATGAACCAAGGTGGGCGGGGAAATAAATGTCGTTCAAATCAGTCGTTGAACGCTCTGTGTCCTAAATGGAGGCAAATTAACAGGCCGAGGTGATTACCGGAATGGCTTTACCCCGCCGTCCACATCGACGAGCTAGCCACGCGCACGCCCCGGCGAGGACCGAGGCAAACGAGTCCAGGGTGATGGATTGGTTCGCGGAAGCCACGGCCTGTAACGGGACAAAGTGTGGCACTGCCACAGTGTGCCACAGCTGTGTCCTGCACCGCGAGTATGTCCATACAATGTGCCTTCCCTTCCACATCCCCGGCCTGACAAAGCACCCAGTCGTCTTCTTCTTCACGGGCCGCTGCTGCGCTACCCCTTCAGGCCACGGACAGGACAGAAGCTCCCTCTGAGTGACGTCTGAGGCGGACGCGCGCCGGGAGGTGTGAGGACTGTGCAGGACTGTGAGGTGAGGCCCGCTGCTCAGCTAGCAGCCCTCATAACCGCCGACGCGCACAGAATGCAGAGAATGCCGGTGATGGACTCGCGCGGAAGGGTGGAGCGAGCAGCAGGCGGACAGTGGAGTGGGACACCAGGCCTCGCGCCGTCTCCCTCGCACTCACAAGGCGTTCCGTAGCGGTGCGAGAGAGACAGAGCGAGTCTGCAGTTGTAGTGCCACACGGCATTCTGCGAACCTCATCAAACTGTTCATTATTCGCGGAGCAAAACAGCCACTCGCATTGTACGTACACTGTAGGAGCTGCGATCGTGTTTCCAGTGTATAGCTCCTCGCCTCGCTTGCTTTTTGGCAGTGTAGTTAAAAAGGTGGACGCGTGCAGAGATAGCGGTCGCGCGCCCTCTCTCCGTCGCCGGTGAGGTCACAGTGTCCGTCAGGATGAGGAGCACTCGGAAAACGAGGCGCGAGGATTAGAATACGTGTTATTGAACCACCTGCGGGACAAGGGCATGCTAAGTGCTCGCGCTGAATACGAGCTTGTTAGGTGTGAGGGGTGGGGGTAGCAGTGCACAGTGCAGGGGCAGCGACAGGCAGTCTAGGCGGCCGGCGAGAGGGGAGGGGGAGGGGAGGGGCCTTACCGTCGGGCATCCTCATCCCATATCCGAGCCTAGGCCACTCACTCGCTCTTCCCAGAAGCGATGTACGCGCTGATGTACTCTGGGGTGTACTACACCTTGCGCTTACAGCCGCTCGGCTGGCTTACAGCAGGTTACCCGATTTAGTGGCAACCTGGGATCGCCTGCGATGCAACGCCATGGCAACGCCCAGCGCCACCCTGCGTGCGAGCTGGCCAAGCCGGCCCGTCGTCTTCGCGGGAAACGAGTGGAGTGGCTCAACACGCCCAGAAACGGCCAAACGGCTCGCGACTTTCCATGTTGTTTTCCGAAAACTTGTTGGCGCGTCTTTGCGGCCGGCGCGGCAGTGGCGCGGCAGTGGCGCGGCAGTGGCGCGGCACACCCGCGGGTCGCGGCATCAGATTTCGCGCTACTGCGCTGAGCGTTCCGCGGACGGCCCCGCGCGCTGCTAGACTGTTTGTGAACGCCGTTTCGTACTCCGCCATCCGGACGGACCACACCATGAGTGCGAGAAAGACAGAGCCGATCAGGCTGCAGGTGGAGCCACCTTGATGCGGACCGGGGCGCTGCAACAGGTGGAGGTC